ACCCCGCTCCCGTCGGTTGTCCCAGTCGAGGAGTCTGCTGACTCTAGTGGCCCTACGACACAGTCCTCACCACCCGCCCCTCCCCCGGTGTCTCCTCCTCCGTCGTCGCAGCCGCCGCCGCCGCAGCCGTCGTCGCAGCCGCAGCAGCAGCAGTTTGTCGTCCCCGGGGGTGCTGCTGTTGAGGAGGGTGCTCGTCCTGGGGTTCCTGTCGTGGCTTATCCCGGCAGGCCTGGGGGTGGTACCAGTGCTCGAGAGGTTCCTGGTTCTGGGGGTGCTGGAGTGGAGTGTTCCGGAGATGGTCGTGGAGCAGCTGGCGGTCCCGGTGTTACCGTCTTGCCGTCGCACCTGCAGTCGCCGCCGGTGTCAGCCTTTCACCTCCTCGGCCTTCCGTCCCCTGACCACGCGCCTGTGCCTCCTCCACCGTCTTCTCCCTTTCCTGTCTACAGCTCCGTGTTCCCTCCTCCGGACTCGTCTCCAGCTCGTCTTCCTCCGCGTTCTCCTCTTGTGTCTCCTCCTCCGACACCTCCGTCTCATGTCTGGTCCCGCCGTCCCTCTCGTGCTCGTCCTGTCTCTCCTCTTCCGCACTCTCACCCTGTATTGCTCCGTTCCCATGCGTCTCATCCTCCCCTCCTCCCATCGCCTCCTCCGTCCTCCCTTGTTGTCCCTCCCCCTCTGTCTGACTACCTTCGTGTAGCTCGTCCTCTTATTCCCCGGGTCCTTGCCTCTCTCGTTACCGACCCGTGTGTTCCTGTTTCGCGTCTTGACGCTCTTGTCGCTGCGGTCGCTGACTTCGCCTCTACCCGCCGCCTTGACTACGCCACTGCTCTGGTCTCTGACCCTACTCGTCCTCCGTCCATCGGTGGTACTCTTGCCCCTGGCAGTGACGTCCTGGAGGACCGGCAGTTGAGCTTGCTTTCCTGTCCGAGGCTGCTCCCCATCTCTGTTCCATGCTGCTAGTCCCTGAGGGTGACCCAGATGCTTTCGACATCCCGACCCCTCGCACATACGGTGAGGCCACCTCGAGACCCTGGGCCTCTCAGTGAATAGCTGCCATGGAGCAGGAGATTGCATCTTGGAGATCCACCGGCACCTACGTCAACGCAGTTCCCCCACCTAGGGTGAACGTTGTCGATGGTCGGTGGCTCTTCAAGGTGAAGCGCCCCCATGGAGAGCCGCATGTATTCAAGGCGCGCTACGTGGCTAGAGGCTTCAGTCAGCGTGAGGGGGTGGACTTCTTTCAGACCTTCGCCCTGACCCCGAAGATGACTACTCTTCGGGCGCTGCTATACGTAGCAGCTCGACTTCTCCACTGCGTTCCTTCAGGACAGCTTATACGAGCAGGTCTACGTGCACCGCCCTCTGGGATTCACTGGTACCTTCCCTCCTGGGACACAGTGGCTACTTCAACGCCCAGTCTACGGCTTGCGACACGCGCCCCGTGAGTGGCATGATACACTGCGTGCTACCCTTGCTGACCTGCAGCCCTTTCTGTCCTCTGCAGATCCCTCGCTCTTCGTTCGTGCTGGCCAGACCCCGTTCTACATCCTTCTCTACGTAGACGACCTGGTCTTTGCCACTGCAGACAGGGACGCACTGGCCTCAGTGAAGGCAGAGCTGCTGAAGAGACACACCTGCACTGACCTAGGAGAACTACGCCACTACCTTGGCCTCTAGATCTCCAGGGACAGAGGAGCGCGCACCATCACTCTCACACAGTCACACTTGGTCCGCCTAGTCTTTTAGAGGTTCGGTCTTCAGTTCTCCTCCGTACAGCCCACACCTCTACAAGTAGATCACAGGCTCTCAGATCCAGTTCTAGAGGAGTCAGTAGAGCCAAGTGGTACACAGAGCTGGTGGGTTGCCTCATGTACCTTATGACTTGCACTCGTCCAGATCTCGCATACCCTCTTAGCATCCTGGCTCGCTTTGTGGCCACGGGCAGACACCGACCACAGCACTGGTCGGCCGCTAAGAGGGTTTTGCGTTATCTAGCAAGTACATCGGGCATGGGGTTAGTGCTAGGAGGACGCGGGTCAGTGGTCCTTACTGGGCACACAGACACTTCTTGGGCAGACGACACTGAGACCCTCAGGTCCTCGCATGGCTACTACTTTAGCTTTGGTTCAGGTGTCATCTCGTGGAGAGCTACTTGCTCCTCGTCTGTTGCCCAGTCCAGCTGTGAGGCCGAGATCTACGCTGGTGCCATGATGGCACAGGAGCTCCGGTAGCTGACCTTCTTGCTCACTGACATAGGTGAGCGGCCTAGCTCTGCCCCGGTCCTGTACGCTGACAACAGGGCCATGATCCTCATGTGTCAGGAGCCTCGACTTGAGGGCAGAGCGAAGCGCATCCAGCTGCGGTACTTCCTCTTGCGCGAGCTACAGCAGCGCCGCTAGGCTTGTGTACTACACTGTCTCCGGCGCCAATACAACTGATATCGTTACGAAGGCGCTTGTCTGTAAAGATCATCAGCGGCACTGTGTACAGCCAGGTGTCGTTTCTGTAGCCTCTCACTTGCTAGGGCCTTGATTATGTAGAGACCTTCATATATATTTTACCTGACTGGCCTTGTGGCTTCTCCCAGTGGCTGGACTAGTAGTGTCGCCCTGGTCTTGCTCTTGCCTCGGTTTGTACTTGTTTGACTGGTCATTAGACCCTTGCCTCAGAGGTTGGACAAATAGTGCCACTCTGAGTTGCTTGTCTCTCAACAGACACTTCCCTTATCCAATCTAGGGGGTGTGTCAAACACATTTGTGTATGATGTTGTAGACCATATAGGGTTGTGCCATAGAGAGTACAGCCACCTAGGTTATAGTGCCTTGTGCTCTCACATTCTAGTCATTCTTTCAGTTTGTTACGACCATCTTCAACGGCTGCGATTAAAAGTGATCGTTTTGACGCTTTCTGAACCTGGATGAGTTCGATCTGAAGACCTCGTCAGGACGACGTTATAATTATGCTCATCACTGTATTCATGACCTACAGTTACATTGGGGAATGATTTTAATGACAGTTCGGCCTTCGATAGACGGAGGGCATTCTTTACAAGGTGGGAGGATGTAAGGATTTCGCGAATCCTTACTGGGTTTTGCCACAACGAATACCGCGAACAGTGCGCGCTTGCAGCCTCGGCCCTCAAGTCTCGCGTCAAACCACCCCCGTTGACCTCATCGGCCTCGAACGTGTTACCGAGGCGCCTCGAACCCAATTTGACCTCGTCACCCTCGGGATTACTGAGCCCTTGACTGGTCCAACTCTCGAGGTTCAACCTGGTCAACTAGCACTATATAAGCCCTAGGACTGATTTGTATTTAAAGGATTTGTAGTCACTCTCCCATGTAGTATTCTGTGCTATACTCTGAGTTATATTTCATAACTATACTCTATACAGTACACCCACTGCGCTACCCCCAGCAACATGGATGGTGTGTGTGAGTGTTTTGCCAAGACATACCATGTGTGTGAACTGTGAAATGCTTCACGTTATTGGCTCAACGTCGAGGGAGGCAGTGGTGCATTTAATAAAGATCACGGCTTGTTGAGGCTTCGCAAATAAGATCCCCCTCCTCCTCCTCTCACATGTGGCGAACAGTGCGTCTCAATTGTAAAGAACGTGGCTGAGCAGTGGTCAGGGGCAGACTTGACGAGCTTCACTCGGATTAGAACTCGTTATACATCATTATACTGCACTGAACTTTCGATGGCTTTCAGCTAAACGTCCGCTGGTGAACTGTATTTTTATTTTCTCTCTGGCAGGTGGTACACTGAGCATTCGAGTGTTGTCGCGTCATGGACTCATTTCCCGCATCTTAGCTGGCGACAAGGCTGTCTTGAGGTCTAACGATATCCACTTATGGCCGCGGATCTTCTGGCGGCAAGGGCAAACTGGGCTGACCTGGCTACGCGCACTGTACTGTACTGGCGGAACGACTTGTACAGAAAAGCTGACTCGCGCAACCTCCCAGATCTTGGCGCATAGTCATCCAAGATTTTCGCCAATGAGCAAGTCGGGCTTACGGTGAAACATCATTTTCATCCCCAGGTGGTAAGGCTGCGGTACACGACCCTGTTTTCCAGGGTTGCGGACACTCAAGATCGGGGGTTGCAGTGATCAAACCCATTTCGAAACACCGAGCTGGTTCTGAAACAACCCGGCTGCGGTTGCGTTTGATCCTTGTTTTGTTTGCCCTTGATTGCACCTTCGAGTGTTACTTGAACCCGTTGTTTCACCTGCGAGCAGCCACAGCGCTCCACACGGATTGCGTCATGTGTGACTGGAGGAACTTCTCCGCTGCCTCGCGTGCCCACCAGAACACCCTTGATATTCGGAATTTGTGGTGCGCATTGCATTCATGTGGCTCCCTCGCTCCAAAATCATCGTTTCATAATGACTTCACGCAGGTCCACGTAAGTATTTCATTAACCACCCCAACTTTTGACGTCACGTATGCGTCCAGGCCCGGCTTACCCTTCGGGAGCGGGAAGCCAAGAACTGTAGAAAATCTTTTTGACGGCAGCGATTGTACGAAAGATGATTTCAGGCAACACCGCGCCATGTGCCTTGCCCCTTCGCCCCCGACCGACCTCCCCCACCCCACCCCACCACACTTTTGACTGCCGTGATAAAATCTCGCCAGCACCATGCACGCATTGTCCTTGAATGACTTTCCCCATTCTGCCCCCATGGCCCGAGTCCCGACCATTCCGCCACCACTCCTTCCCTCGCCTTGTTTTCCGAAAAGGCAGGTTCTGCCAACTAGCTGGCTGGCTGGTCACTTCTCCTCTCCCCTCTCCCTCCCCCCACCATGGACAACGCGCTGCAAAACCGGATTTCTGCCCGCAGGCTGCCCACGTTCAGACACACAGCCTCGCAGGGGAAGGCCAATGCGAGAGCGCGTCACACCCGCCAAAATGTGCCCATTACCAGACGAACCATCGCCTCGCCACCACTGGACTACAAAACGAACCCGCAACCAGTTCCAACCAATCCACTTCCTCAGTGAGACACAGCTGTCGAGCACCAACGAGACCACATTTCTTTCCAAATCCGCCGCTGCGTTCCAGCTAAATCCCACTCTTCCCAGCTTAGTAGTCATAGCAGCAGCTTGAACATCTTCCAAACAAACGTGTAGCATCAGCTCTCCGATGTCCGTCTCCCAAACGCGTGCCTAGATTCAAGAGCCATCCTCGCTCGTTTCTCCTCACACGTTCTTCCTCCGAGAACGCAACGTCACGTCGCAACACCAACTCGTCGCATTCGAAACTCTTCACATTCGGAACGGTTCCACAGCAATGACGACGACTCCAGTGATCCGCGCGCGTCCCACAGCCGAGCTTTTCGCGCGCTACGCCTTCACAGAAACCATCGGCCAGGGCCACTTCGGGAAGGTCTGGCGCTGCCTCGACCGCGCGACCGGCGAGGCGCTCGCGTGCAAGCAAGTGCGCAAGAGCGGTCTCTCTGAGAACGACTTGGCGGATCTCGAGCGGGAAATCGCCGCGATGCAGCTGCTGCAGGGTCACCGCCACGTGCTCGCGCTCCGCGGGCTTTTCGAGGACGCTAATAACGTGTACATGATCACGGACCTGTGCACGGGCGGGGATTTGTTCGATTTAATCGCGCGCACGGGCGGGCTGGACGAAGACACCGCGGCGCGGCTTTTCGCACAGATCGCACAGGGCGTGCGATGGTGCCACGTGCACCGCGTCGTCCATCGCGACATCAAGCCCGAAAACATCCTCCTCGCCAAGTCCTCATCGTCGCACGCCGCCGCCCCCGCCGCCGCTGCCGGCGCTGCCGCCGCCGCCGCCGGGCTCGACGCGTGCCTCGCAGATCTCGGCCTCGCGTTTCAACTCGCGCCCGGAACAGCTATTATCGGAGTCGCGGGAAGCGCGCCATACGAGGCGCCCGAGGTGCTCGCACGACAGCCGTACGATTTCAGCGCCGACATCTGGTCGCTCGGCGTGCTCCTCTACTCCATGCTCGCCGCTGGTTGGCCCTCGTTCCCCAACAACCGCCGCCAGCTGCGCCCAGCCGTCGATTTCGCTGACGCGCCGTGGCAAACGGTCTCGCGCGAGGTGAAAGATCTCATCCGTCGGATGATGACCCAGGACCAGTTTGAACGGCTGGATATCCACGGCGTGCTCCAGCATCCGTGGCTCGCGTCGCGGCTCGCCGCAATCAGCCAGAAGCGCCGACCCTCCGCCGCATTCCCCGCCACAAAAACTGCCGCTCCCGCTGCAGCTTTGGCACCGCAGCGGGTGGAAGCCAAGTCCGCAACGGCGGAGCAGAAATCGGCGCAGAAGCCCCCGCACCAGCCGCGCGAGGTGGAGCGCGACGCGCGGGAGGAGCTGCGACAGCTAAAGCAGCAGCACAGGTCGCTGTGCTCGTTCGACTCGGACAAATCCGTCGACTTCGACAACCAAGAATCGATGCTGCCCGCTCTCCTTCCCGTGCCCACTAGCGCAAGCTGCGCCAGGGAGTCCTCCGGAGCTTCCGCGGTGGATTCCGATGCGCAAAACCCTGAACTCCGTATTCCGCCGCTCACTTCCGCCGCTGCTCCTTGCAGTTCCGCCGACATCGGCTCGCTCCGCCAAGCGGGCAACAACAGCCGCGAGAGCAGCGCGTCTAGCTTCGATTTCGTTCCGTCGTTTTCGTCCGCGTCGTCCGCGTCGTCCGCATCGTCCGTCGCTGAAATCGCGCACACTACTGTTACTTCTAAGGCGCGCAATAATCGCCGAAGCTCGAAGGCTCCAGGCGCGGACCTTCTATTGAGTTCAAGCACCCTTCGTGTCTCTGTTGTTTGAAGCTACACTTCAACTGTACTCGCTGTCTATACACGTCTTCTTGCTAGATCATTAGGTGCCAACGCTTTTGTACGTTAGATTATTCAATTCATTTATCTGGTCACTGGCGAAAGCCAGCTCGATAATCCAAGTCATACGCTGCTAGAAGCTGTGCAGTGTCTAGCATTGCATCCTAAACATTTTCAAACTGCGGTAACATGACACCATTTCAAAGTACGTGAGCAGTTCCTTACAGGAAGGATCAACTACTTCCAACCATTTCCATCCAGACTGTATGGATCAGTGTACCAGTTTCAACAGTATCAATGCGCTGGAAAAGGCCACAGCTATTGCTTGCAAGGGTTGCTGATCAGTCAGTTGATGCTTGCAGCAACATAATCTATTTCCCCACCACCATCCAAACCATTCTCATCCCCATCACCAACCCCACCATCATGAACACCAGCATCCCCATCTCCATCCCCACCCGCACCCGCATTGATGCTATTTCCCCCTTCCCCATCATCATCCCCACCCACATTCACGCAATCCCCCCTTTCCCCGTCACCCTCAGCATTAGCGTCCATCACCATCTCTTCCCGTGCCTCGTTCAACCTCTCCCCCTCACCCCCTTCAGCTGCAGTGTGCATTACATCTCACGCTTTCTCATCTGGTGCATGGTGAGGGGTGTCACGAGGCGTGTCATGAGATGTGTCAAGAGGTGTGTCACGAGGTGTGTCATGAGATGTGTCACGAGGCGTGTCACGAGGTGTGTCATGAGATGTGCCACGAGATGTGTCACGAGGCGTGTCACGAGGCGTGTCACGAGGCGTGTCAAGAGGTGTGTCACGAGGTGTGGGTGCTGCTCTCTCTCTCGCCCTACGCTGCTGCTGCGCCTCCATGCGCCCCCATCCCAGGTCACAGAGAGGAACACCCACAGACGCAGCTAGGCCCAGCAGACACTTGTTGTAGGAGAAATCGGAGCAGGCAGGAGGAGCGGGAACAGCGGGAGGAGGAGGAGGAGGTGGAGGGATGGAAGGAGAGGGAGGGGATGCAGAGGGAGAGGGGGTCGGCTCAGGAGGTGGGGGGGGAGGTGAGGCAGGCATGGCCAACGGAGAAGCAGAGGGAGGAGAGGCAGGATTGTCCTGCGGAGAGGCTTCAGGAACTTTTTTGGGAGAGTGGTGGGGAGAGTGTTCACGGGAGTGTTGGGCATGGTGAATGATGAAGAAGCAGACAGTGTTGGGGTGCTCCGGATGGTGGTCCACCTGAGAGGGGGGGAAACGGGAGGAAAGCAGTGGGAGATCCATTGTGGTTAGGGCGAGGAGGAAGAGGAAAACAGACAGCAAGTGGAAAGGGAAACAGCGGCACGCTCGATATCAGCAGACTGCTCGCTCTCGTGAGATACGTCACGTGAACGAACAATATTCCAGAAGACCAGTCAGATAAAAGTTTAGAAGGCTAGTCTCACCTTGATCCCAGCCACTCCAGCTGCCATCTTCTCTTCCGGCCCTTGGGTGGTGCACCAGCAAGTTCATTCGAACAAACCCAAAAGCCTTTCTTCCCCAGCTGCTCCATTTGCTGGTACCGCACATGCAGCAGCTCCCATGTCCTCTCGAGCCCACCTGACTAAACAACACACGCACATACTTACACACACATACTCCCACCTTGATTGCACTTCCCCTCTCACCTTGATCCCAGCCACTCCAGCTGCCGTTTTCTCTCTCGCCCTTGGGTGGTGCACCAGCAGTTTCATCAGAACGAACTCAGAGCAGGGCTCTCGCTAAGCTTTCTGAGTACTCTGTTTCTCCCGGAAACCCCCCGGGATTTGGGAAACCCACGCGGTCTGTTTCGTCCGGATTCGGGGCCTCTTGATTTCTGTTTCGTCCGGATTCGGGGGCTCTTGATTTCTGTTTCGTCCGGATTTGGGTGAGATGTTACTTTGGGCCGAGTAACACGGAGGGTCTACTCGGATTGCTTTCCCAAGGTTTCCTCGCAAGTAGCACATCACTTCGGGTCAGAGATTCGACAGCCAAGATAAGCACGAGTCAGTAAATGTGCTGACGTGTACTAACCTTAGGCGTCAATGACTTTGTGCCACAGAGCCAGACACTTTCTACGAATCACCCTACAGGCTAGGAAGGCTCTTACCACCTAGGGTCAAAACAAGGTAATGTCGAGGCCAGCGCATGTTTGACAGAGTACCTTCTCTGCCAACTCTGTTGGCAACAGTGAGAATTTTCCCGAACCCCGTTCTCACAAGTGCTGTTTTGGTGTGGACTTCGACACATGTTCCAGGAAGGAGTGAGATGGGTGCGGGAGAGATGTCTCGGGCTGTGAGGAACTTAGACTAATTTTCTGGGTGGCGAGGGGTGTGGGTCGAATGTCTCTGGCTGTAAGGGACTTAGCCGAAATTTCGTAGGCTGTCAAATGTCTAGGGCTGTTTGGGACTTAGCCAAAATTTCGAGGTTGCAAGGGATGTGGGAGTGATGTCTCTGGCTGAGAAGGACTTAGTAAAAAAATTCCTGGTTTGGGTAGAAGGGGGAATGTCTCTGTCTGTTACGGACTTAAGAATTTTTGCGCCAAAGGGGGAATACATAGAATTGGGGGAGGGAGGGGGGGGGGGGGAGGTTGTCCCTCTGGCGGGGTCGTTCGGAATGCTCCACGGGGCAATTCTGATTCATCCGGAGAATGCCCCGTGCCCACTTGTATAAATTCCGGGTTCCAGGGAAACTTACCCGTTCAAATTCCGGAATCCAGCCCAAAGTTACTCTTAATGTTTTTTTATTCCGGGTAATTACCCTTTAAACCTGAGCCCTGACTCAGAGTCCTCCCCGAGCTGCTCCCCAGGCTGGTACCTCACATGCAACAGGTTCCACGCCCTCTCGGGTATGCCTCACACGATCACATACACACTGGACTCACCTTGATCCCAGCCACTCCAGCTGCCGTTTTCTCTCTCGCCCTTGGGTGGTGCACCAGCAGGTTCGCCTGAACGAACTCAGAGTCTTCTTCCCCGAGCTGCTCCCCCGGCTGGTACCGCACATGCAGCAGCTCCTGTGCCCTCTTGCGTATGCCCTGCAGCGTGTCCAGCGTGTCGTATCTGGAGTCGCTTTCGTCGCCCATGTACAGCCGAACCCTGCTGCCTCCACTGGGAGGCTGCTCCCGGTGCTCAAGCTGGTTGTGGTCCTCATGGGGGGTTGGCTCATGCTGTTGTGGCTGCTGCTGCTGCTGCTGTGACTCTTGATGTTGCTCTGCCTGTTTTTGCTGCTCCCTCTCCTCTTCTTTGCTCTCATCTGCTGCTGCTCCGGGATTGGCACAGCAGACCAAACCCCAAGCTCTTCTCCTAATAGCTTCCCCAGTACCAGCTTCAGCAGCAATACAAGGAGCAGACTCACTATGGTCAACAGCAACAAGAACCGAATCAGCAGGAGCAACAGCAGGGGCAGCATCGCCAGCAGCACCGGGAACAGCAGACGCCTCACCATTCCCATCGCTCTCATTGCCTCCCTTCTCCTCCTCCTCCTCCTCCTCCTCCTCCTCCCCCTTTCGCTCTCTCCATTGCGTCAGTCTCTCGGCCAGCACAGCTTGCAGGCTAACACGCGCTCCTGTTTCTGTCATCTCCTCTACTGTCCCACTCTCTACTGTCACCCCTGCCTGTGTTGCTCCTGCCGCTGTCGCCCCGTCTGTCTCCACCCCTGCTGCTTCCCCTGCGCCCTCTGCTCCCCCTGCGCCCTCTGCTCCCCCTGCGCCCTCTGCTCCCCCTGCTCCTCCTCCCCTTTCTGCTCCCACAGAAGCCCCTGCTTCCCGTCCCTCTTCCACGACCTCATCCGTCGCCCTTGCTGCTTCCGACGAGACTCCATGCTTGCACCTATCGATGAACACGGAGAGAGACGAGGGCTCCAGACCAGGCAGTTGGACGGGCGCTTTGGAGAGGGAGAGGGCGGAGGGGCGAGGGGGCAAGAGGGAAGGCGGAGGAGGAAGGGGCGGAGGAAGGGGGGAGAAGGGATTGGCACCGGGAGGTGGTGGGAGGGGCCCTTGGGGAGACGGGAGGGGAGGGGGAGGAGGAAGGAGTGAAGGTGGAGGGGGAAGGGGCGGAGGAGGGGGTAGTGAGGGTGGTGTTTTAGCGCCCTCATACTCATAACCCCCTCCTGCACATGCAGGATCCCCCAAACCTTCCTCCTGCTGCCCATCCACCATCCTCTCCTCCTTTCTCTTGGTGTCACTCTCACCCGCAGCCTCGCCTGCTTCCTGCATGGAGTGGTCCAGCTGGACGGACGCAGTACAGGTGGCAGCGCAGCGTGCGCCCAGCAGCGACTGTGGCACTGCCAGGTCAGCACAGAGAAGAGGGAGGAGATGCCTGCGGGGGCGGAAGTACATGGGGGCGTCTGCCATGAAGACTTTGAAGAGGGAGTTGTTCTTGCTCTTGTGTTTCGTCCTGTGCTTGTGCTTGGGCTCGTACTTGTGAGAGGACGGCGTTTTGAATGTAGGGATCTCGGGAGCTCCTGCGTTGTGTCTCGATCCTGTGGCTCCCCATGCTCCTTCACCCTCGCTCTTTTCCCTGCCAGTTTTGCCCCATCCCTGTGCCCCACCCCTCCCGCCGTCTTCTGTTCCCCACCATCCACTTTGCTCCTGATTGCTGCCCCAAGCTCCACTGGCCCCCTCCCCACCTCCCCACCCTCCCCACCCTCCCTCTGTACTCTGCCCGCTCCCCCACCCTCCCCCCGCGCCCTGGTCCCCCCCAGCATCTCCCCCCTTGCCCCACCCTCCCTCACTAGCCTCCGCACCTCCCCACCCTGCCCCTGCGCCCTCCCCTGCTGCGCCATCCCCTTTCTCCCCCTCCTCTCTGCCCCATCTTCCAGCTTCATTTTCGTTACAGTCCCATCCACCCCTCCCCTCCCCAGCAGCACCAGCAGCACCAGCAGGACCAGAAGCAGCGGGATCATCCACACCCCCTGAAGCCCAACCCCCCTCTCCCTCACCCTCCGCCTTCCCTCGAGCTCGCCCTGCCCCCCACATGGGAACCACAGCTCCCCACCGCCCCAGCCTGAACCTGCGCCTGCCTTTCCCCATTCCCCCCCTCCCCCCCTGCCCCATGAACAGCAGCTCGGGCAGATCAGTCCCTTCGTTCTCCCACCCCCCCCACCCCTCCTGCTCCTCCTCCCCTGCTCTCTCCTCCTCCTCTTCCACGTGTGCTGTGTTCCACCCTCCTCGCTGCCCCCCTCCCTCCCTCCATCCCTGTTCTCTTCCCCATCCTCCTCTTCCCCCTCCTCTTCCTCTACCTCTCCCCCCTTCTTCCTCTCTCCAGTCTCTGCTGCCCACTCCATCCCCTTCCCACCTGCCCCCTCGGCCCCTTCCCCTTCCTCTCCCGTGCATACTCCCCCATCTCCCACCCCGTCCTCCCTCCCCTTCTCCTTCAAACTCTGTCTCTCGCCCCCCCCAAGCATCCCAATCTCCCCCACCTCCCCCACCTCCGCCACCTCCACCACCTCCTCCACCTCCTCCCCACTCTCCATCTACCTTTGCATCCCCCCATCCGCCCTTCTCTGCTTTCTCCTCTCCTGCCTTTCTGCACCACCCACCTTCTGTTGCCGTCCCATTCCCCCATCCCCCTTCTTCCGTTCCAGTCTCTTTCCCCCATCCCCCTCCTTCCGTTCCCGTTTCTTTCCCCCATCTCCCATCTGCACTCCTCCAACAACCTCCCTTCTCCTCATCCCCCTTCTTATCTCCATCTCCCCATTTGGCCCCTTCCCCTTCCCCTTCCCCCCACCCCCCTCCGCCTCCCCCATCCTCCTTCTGTTCTTTGTTCCCCCACCTTCCCTCCCCATCTTTCCCTGTTCCCCCTCCCGCGTCCCATCCTCCTTTCCCTCCTTCCGCCTCCCCTGCTCCCGTGCCCCATCCCCCCTCCCCTCCACCTGCTCCCCATGTCCCTTCCCCTCCCCCCATGCCCCATCTCCCCTCCTCTTTATCTCCCCCACCTCCCCATGTGCTACCATCCCCACCCCCTCGGCCCGTGCCCCATCCCCCTTCCCCTCCACCTGCTGTTTCCCCCCACGCGCCACCATCCCCACCTCCTCCTCCCCATCCCCCACCCCCACCCGCTCCCCCTCTGCCGCCCCAACCCCCATCGCCAGAAGCAGCAGCATCACCACCGCCGCCCCAACCAGCAGCAGCAGCAGCATCACCACCACCCCAACCACCAGTAGCAGCAGCATCACCACCCCAGCCAGCAGCAGCTGTAGCCCCACCACCCGCCGTAGCTGTAGCTGTGGCAGCGGCAGCAGCAGCACCAACACCACCGGCAGCAGCGGCAGGAGCAGGAGGATCGTGGAGGATCAGATCGAAGCATGGAGCGCCGGTGCCAGCTGGCATGGGCTTGCCAGCCGCCACGCTGGCAACGACGCCCACCAGGCTGTCAGAGGCATGTTCGATCGCTGCGGTGGTGAATGTGCGGACAGGGTCCTGCAGAAAGCAACACCAGGGGAGAAGGGGCGAGGGGAGGGGAGGAGGACGAGAGCAGTGAGGTGCCTCCAAGCCAGGCTGTCAAAGGCATGCTGGATGGCTGCTGAGGTGAATGTGCGCACAGGTCCTGCAGTAAGCAAACCAGGGGAGAAGGGGCGAGGGGAATGGAGAGGGACCAGGAGGGGAGGGGAGGGGAGGGGAGGGGGAAGAGAGCAGTGAGGTGCGTGCAAGGCAGGCTGTCAAAGGCATGCTGGATGGTTGCTGAGGTGAATGTGCGCACAGGGTCCTGCAGTAAGCAAACCAGGGGAGAAGGGGCGAGGTGAATGTGCAGACAGGGTCCTGACCTGACCACAGAATGGCGATCAGCGCCAGGTGGCACGCTATAGACACAACAATATTGGATGTCTCTTTTTGAGGCGCCTCAAAAATAGACTCCTCACGCATGGCGATCAGCGCCAGGTGGCACGCTATAAACGCAGCAATATTGGATGTCGCAGCCTGACACACCCCCGGCGTCTATTTTTGAGGCGCCTCAAGAATAGTCACCCTGACACACGCCCGGCGGAAAAGCGAGGAGATGCCTTGGCCTTGGGACGCGAGAGCAGCTAACGAGATGCCCGGGAGGGACCCAGCCATGGTCATGCAGTCAGCCACTGGTTTCAGGTGGCACGCTCACACCACTCACCTCTAGCGAGGAGCACTCACCATGACACACGCCCTGATGAAGGGCGAGGAGTCTATTTTTGAGGCGCCTCAAAAATAGACTCTTCAGGTGGCACGCTGATCACTGTTGAGGTGACAGCACTAGAAAGGAGGACTCGCCTTGACACACACCTTGAGGAAGGGCGAGGAGGCGCATAGGCTTTGGGATGCGAGGGCAGCGAAGGACATGCCGTGGAGGGACCAAGTCATGATGATGCAGTCAGGCACCAGGGTGAGGTGGCGGGGAGGTGCCCTGCTTGAACACACCATTGGAAAGCTTGACTCACCTTCACACACGCCCTGAGGAAGGGCGAGGAGACGGCTTGTGAGGCGAGGGCAGCGAAGGACATGCCGTGGAGGGACCCCGTCATTGTCATGCAGTCAGCCACGAGGGTGAGGTGGCGGGGAGGCACCTTCGCCCCGGCTTCCTTCATGAGCGCACTCAGGCGCTGAGGGGGGGGGGGTTTATGCGTGGGGGGGGAAGGGGGTTTTGGAGGGGGAAGGGAACCGGCGTGGAAAGAGGAGATTAGATGGACCCCACCCCGAGCGAGTCATGCTGTCAGCTACCCGGGTGAAGTGGTGCGAGGCACCTTGGCTTCGCCCCTGCTTCTCTTGTGACAGCACACAGGCGCTGGACGACAGTAGGGAGGAACGAGGAATGTATGGGAGGGCGAGGAGGGCGAGGAGGGCGAGTGACGCGATGAGGGTGAGTGAGGCGAGGAGGGTGAAATGAGGCGAGGAGGGTGAAATGAGGCGCACAGGTAGCAGCAATGGAGGGCCAGAAAGAGGGCTAGTAGGAGAGAGTGGGGCGAGAGGGGGAGGGAGAGGGGAGCGAGAAGGGGAGCGAGAGGGAGGAGGAGTGAGAGGGGGAGAGAGGGGAAAAGTGGTAGAACCTCACTTGGAAAAGAAACCCCTCAAGCATCCTCGATTCCAAGAGACTCTGCCACCTGCTGCAGCCGCTCTGGGTAACTCCGAGACGAGTTGACCCCTTCAGAACAGCCAGTTGCCGCACAGGCAGCAGCAAAGGTCGGACGAACAGGCAGCAGCGATGGTCGGACGAACAGGCAGCAGCGACGGTCGGGCGAACAGGCAGCAGCGACGGTCGGACGAACAGGCAGAGGCGAGACAAGCAGAGGGAGACGAAGACACGGAGAGAGGAAGACGGTAGCCTCGAGTAGCCTCGATACCAAGAGACTCCGCCACCTGCTGCAGCCCCTCCGGGTGGCTCTTGGCCCAGTCAAGGTTGTCATAGCGCTCTCCAGCCAACAAAACACGCACTCTACTGTCTGTCCCTCTCACCTGAAACAGCACCCCTCGAGCAGCCTCGATGCCAAGCGACTCTGCCACCTGCTGCAGCCCCTCTGGGTAACTTCGCGCCCAATCAATCGCTTGCCAGCAGCCAGTTGCCGCACAGGCAACAGCAACGGATGGCCAGACAGAGCGTAGGGAGGAGAGCGAGACGGAGAGAGCGAGATGGCTGGGCGGGTTTGAGCCCTCCTCGTCCTGCCATTGTATGTGCGCTGCTTGAATGCTCCTGCTGCCTGCTTGTTTGAGGCAAATGTGGCAATCACATGCCACAGGAGTTGACACACACACACACACACACATGCACAGACATGCGCACATGCACAAACCAACGTGCCATGCACGCATGTGCATGTGCATGTGCGCATGCACGCAGACACAGACAAGAAGAAATGCATGATTGGCAATCAGCTGCTAAGGCCAACTATGTGGGTTGAGGGGGGAGGGGGTGAGGAAAAAGGGCCGCGGGGTGAGAAAGCGAGGGAAGAAGGGTGCGGGAGGTGGGCGAGAGGGGTGACGGTACGGAAGAGAAGGCGAGAAAGAGAACGAGACGGTGCAGCTCACAAGATGCAGCGCAGTAGGAAGAGCTTATTGATTTTTGAGTCGACTCCAAAATCACCTACCAAGAGAAGGCGAGAAAGAGAAAGAGACCGTGTGGCTCAAAAGGTGCAGCGCAGTAGGAGCAGCTTACCTGTGACTACTGTGTTAAGCACCCTCGGCACAATCACATCCCGCAACCTCTCTAGATCTAGCAGAGCCTCCCACCCTCCCTCGCCCTCTCCTGCCTCCACTTCCTCCTGCCCGGTACTACTTTCCACTCTCCCTCCAACCAGCTCAGCAACCCCTCTGACGGCTGGCCGTGCCAGCACCACGTGCACACAAGGGCCCTGACAGGTGTGAGAGGTGGGCGTATGGCTTGATGAGAACAGACAGCGAGACCTGAAGGGATGGGTGGTGCGGTGTGGTGCAGTGTGGTTCAAGGGAGAGAGGGAATACGTGACTCTGATGGCTGGTCGTGCCAGCAGAAGTTGCAGGTAGGGACCCTGGCAGGCGTGAGAGGTGGGCCCGTGGCTTCATGCGAACAGACAGCAAGAAGTGAGGGGTGGATGGTGCGGTGTGGTGCAGTGCGGTGTGGTGGGGTGGATGGTGCGGTGTGGTGCAGGGGAGAAAGGAAGTAAGTGAAAGGGTGAGTAAGTGGGGAAGTGAGAGAGAGCCGACACACAAGCTAATTCAGCATTGATGACTCCGCATTGACACCTCAGCAACATTGACGACTCAGCATGATCCACTCACTTGAGCTCCACGTGCATCAGGTGCACCAACTCGCCTGCCCCACACGCCTTCCTCGTCTTCTCCATGTGCCACGTGTCGAGATGTGATTGGACGGCCGCCTTCACGGCTTGATGGATGGTGGTATGAGGGTCAGGGAAGCGAGAACTTGGGAGGCAGGCAAATGCTTTAGCTATGGCATCCTGTGGAGAGAAGGATGGAGGGAGGGAGGGAGGGACGGAGGGAGATGGCGGTTTGATTGCCATCACAGCGTGATGGATGGTGGCATAAGGTCAGGGAAGCTCCGTCCGTCCAACAACCTCCGCCCGTCCAAGAACACACGCCCGTCCAAGAACTCACACCCGTCCAAGAATTCACACCCGTCCAAGAACTCACAGCCGTCCAAGAACTCACACCCGTCCAACAACTCACACCCGTCCACGAACTCACACCCGTCCAACAACTCACACCCGTCCAAAAACTCACACCCGTCCAACAACTCACACCCGTCCAACAACTCACACCCGTCCAAGAACTCACACCCGTCCAAGAACTCACACCCGTCCAAGAACTCACGCCCGTCCAACAACTCACGCCCGTCCAACAACTCACGCCCGTCCAACAACTCACGCCCGTCCAACAACTCACGCCCGTCCAACAACTCACGCCCGTCCAACAACTCACGCCCGTCCAACAACTCACGCCCGTCCAACAACTCACACCCGTCCAAGAACTCACACCCGTCCAAGAACTCACACCCGTCCAAGAACTCACACCCGTCCAAGAACTCACACCCGTCCAAGAACACACACCCGTCCAACAAATCACACCCATCCAACAACTCACATCTGACCAAGAACCTCCGTCCATCCAACAACCCCCGCCCGTTCACAAACCTTCGTCCGTCCAAAATCATTTGTCTGTCCAAGAACCTCCGTCCGACAACCCCCGTCATACAACCTCCGTCACACAAGCTGTGTCCAAGAACCTCCGTCCAACAACCCCCGTCATATAACCTCCGTCACACAAGCTGTGTCCAAGAACCTCCGTCCATCCAAAAAACTCCTCACCTCTGACAGCTGTATATGCACCCGCCAGCATGCCTCCTTCACTCCCGCCCTGTCCTCAGACCCTTTAGCAGCCCCCCTCCTCCCACCTCCTGCTCTTCCCTTTCCTTCTGCCCCTCCTCGGCCCTTCTCTCCCCCATCCCCTCTCAGTCCGTCTCTCCCTCTCTTCCTGCCCCTTCCACCTGTTCCCTGCTGTTGCTTTGCTTCCACATCCTCCCTCTCCCTCTCTCTCCTCGCTTTAGCTCCAGTTGCCTTCACTCCCTCGTCCCACCGCTTCAGCTCCCTTCTCCGGTACCTGAGAGGAAACGATGGGGGGGGGGGGGGGGAATGGGGGGGTGGATGGGAGGGTGCAGGCGGAGGTGTGGGTGGGGTGGGAAGGGGTGGGAAGGGGTGGGCAGGGTCACGTTTGAGTCGACTTAGAAGTCACTTCAGTCGCCCTCACTCCCTCGTCCCATCTGGCAGGAACGTGGGAGGTGGGAAGGAGGGTTATGACAAGTGTTATGGGAGAGTGTTCAAACCAAATCACACCTTACGACAAGGAGACGGAAATACTTGAAAGCAAAGCAAGCCCCACACTGTCCGCCACTCACTCGATCATGACATGAGAGGCGAGCTGCCTGACCCGCAGAGGCAGCAGACGGCCCTGTGCTGCGAGAGCCAACCGACAGTCAGCAGCAGCAGCAGCAGCATCAGCAGCAGCAGCAGCTGATGATGATGATGCTGCCGCTGCAGAAGAGGTGGTGCTGTCCTTGGAAGGAGAGGTGGGATGAGCGGGAAGGAATCGCAGTTGGACCCTTGGAGAGGAGTCAGTTGCGTACAGAAGGCGCTGGAAGGGAGGAGAGGAGTTGGAGGGGGAGTGCACAAAAAGAAGAAAAGAAGAAGAGGGCACGGGGCAGGGAAGAAAAGGAACAGCGAACTTGGAAGCTGTTGTCATAGAGAGAAATTGCATGAGAAGTACGCAACTTCTCCCCACAAAGCAAAGTTTCAAGCGTAGCTTCTCGATCAGATCACCCTCACCGGAAAACCATGGAGGCATTTCGTCACCACTGACCGTGCAAGCCATCATGCCCCACATTCCCCTCTTCCTCTCTCAACCCTTCCCTGGTCTCACCTCCAGTCTCAACCCATTGAACCCAATGCATGCTGCGATGGTCTCACCTCCAGCCAGGCAACGAGGGAGGAGGCACCACCATGCGCACCATCATGCCCTGCCGTCAGCACCATCTGTGTGGAATGACTTCGAGCCAGCCCATTGAACCCAATGCATGCTGCGATGGTCTCACCTCCAGTCGGGCAATGAGGGAGGAGGCACCACCATGCGCACCATCATGCCCCGCCGTCAGCACCATCTGTGTGGAATGACTTCGAGCCAACCCATTGAACCCAATGCACGCTGCGATGGCCTCACCTCCAGTCGGGCAATGAGGGAGGAGGCACCGCCGTGCGCGCCATCATGCCCCGCCGTCAGCACCATCTGCGTCGCTGGTCCAGACACTGCCTGCGCCGCTGCCATGCCCACTGCATCCCCTGCTTCCGCCCACACACCCCCCTCATTCCCCACCTCCCTCCTCTCACCAGTCTTCTTCTCTCCCACCTTCTCCTTTCCCGTTTCCTTGCCCTTTCCTCGGTCCTTCCTGTCGTCTCTCCCAACCTTGCCCTTCCCAGACGACCCCCCCTGCCTGTCCTCGTCCCTCGCCTCACCCCCCTCCCCGTCCTCTTCCCCCTCCTCTATCCCCAGTCGTCCATACGACAACTGCACCACCATACCTCCCTTCCCTCCTCCTCCACCTCCTCCCGCCCTCCCCCCCACTCCTCCAATCCTCGCAGACCCATCATAAGCCACCACAACATCTCTAAGCGTTTCTCTTAGCTTCCTGGAGAGCTCCCCCGGCCGAGCCACGCTCGTAGCCTCGGCTACCAGAGCAGGCCTGGCCGAAGCTGCGGCTTGGAAGAGCTCCCGAGCCGAAAGGCCCGCCAGCAGGGAGCCTCGGGCCAAGCCTAGGCCCAAGCTTTGGGAAAAGCCAGGGGAGAGAGAGGTGGCAGGTTGAGAGGCCACGGAAGGTCCGAAATCAGGGGGATTGGGAGGGGACCAGGCAGGGGCATGAGCACGGGAATTGGCAGGGGAACGGGCAAGAGGGATAGAGTTAGGGGCGTTGTTAGTGAGTGTGGACTTAGGAGCGGTGAGGTTCAGTCGGATGGGGTCCACGACATGGGGTAGCGGGCCGGGGGGCAGCAGGGCGTGGAGCCCCAAATCTTGCACCTGCTCGGCGATCTGCTTGGGGTTGCCCTTGCTGCCCGCCCCCAGCATCTCCCGAACTGCATTGCCCCGCGGGAAGAGGGGTGAGGCGCCGGAGAAGAGAGGCGGAGGAGGGGAGCTGGAGGGGTGGGCAGAGAGAGGGGAGTGCTGTGGGAGGCTGCAGGAGTCACTGCAGAAGTCACTGTGGGAGTCACCGTGGGATTCACTGGCAGGGAGGCCGCAGAAGTCACTGAGTCCGGCACTGAGGCCGGCTACAGTGGACAGATAGGTCACCGCTAGTGCCTGCACGCCCGCCAGGTGTCGTGCTGCCATTGGCGGATGGTGCCGCCATATGGCTGCCAGCAAGCCATCGCTGCCACCCCTCAGCCACCGCGACCCATCCCCCACCTCCACCTCCGCCTCCTCCTTCCCTTCTTTTCCCTCCTCTTTGGTACCTTCATCCTCCTCCTCTTCCTCTTCATCCTCCTCCATAACTACCTTCAACCCCTCACTCTCTTCCCCGCCTGTAACCTGCACCCCACGCCTTCTCCCGCCTCTTCCCACCCCCATGCGCCCATGCTCATTCACGAATACGACCTCCCCCTGATGCACCCGAACGCCGCACTTCCGATACTGGAAGCACAGGGAGGGCGGGATGACGGTGGAGAGCAGCTGAAGGGAGGTCCAGAGAGGGGGGGCAGGGGGGGGAGGATGGCGGCTGCTGGTGTTTGGGAGTGGGTACTTGAGAATAGCTGGTGGGGGGAGAGGAAAATAAGGATTTCTTGCTGCTGCTGCTGCTCCTGCTCCTGCTCCTACTCCTGCTCCTGCTCCTGCTCCTGCTCCTGCTCCTGCTCCTGCTCCTGCTCCTGCTCCTGCTCCTGCTCCTGCTCCTGCTCCTGCTCCTGCTCCTGCTCCTGCCGCTGCTGCTGCTGCTGCTGCTGCTGCTGCTCCTGTTGGTGCCTTCCCTCCTTCCTGTCCTCGCTTCGTCCCCTCTCCAACCCCAACTCCCCACTCCCCTTCATCCACAACAGCAATCAAACCTCCAACTCCCCCTCTCCCCTCTCTGCCACCCCTCCTGCCCCGCCTGCTGCTCCAATCCCCTCCCCCACCTTCCCCCCCGCCCCCAGTCACCTGCCCCATCCCCTCCCACGCTTGTAGGGCCAGCTGGGTGGCATCTGGGCGGGAGAGGAAGAGGGAGGGGGAGGAGGGGGGAGGGGCAGCGAGGAGGTGCAGACCGAGCAGGGCGTCCTGCTGGAGAGACATGACGGCAGCATCGTGGCGAGGGGAGTGCGGGTGAGAGAATGAGGAGGAGTGGCAAGAGCAACAGGCGGAGGAACGGGAGGAGGAACGGGAGGAGGAACGGGAGGAGGGATGGAAGGAGGTAGCAGCAGTTGCGGTGGTGCCTATGGCAGTTGCAGGGGGAGCAGCAGCGGCACGGGACGAAGAGGGATCAGATGTGGGATTGATAGGAGGTGGTGGAGGGAGAGGGGGGAGAGGAGGAGGGAGCGGTGGAGGGGGGAGGGTGGGGAAGAGCTGCTTGTCCACGGCCATGAGCTCTGCTGCCTCTGCTGCCACGGCGCTCTGCTGGACGGTGAACACGTTCACTTCATCGCCGTCGAAATCACCCGCTAACGCTGCGCACACCTAAAAAGGGAGGGGGTGGGGGGAGGGGTGGGGGGGGGGGATGCAGGGGGACGGAGGTGAGGGGGGAAAGGGGAAAGAGCTGCTTGTCCACGGCCATGAGCTCTGCTGCCTCTGGTGCCATGGCGCTCTGCTGGACAGTGAACACGTTCACCTCATGTACATCATCAAAGTCTCCAACTATGGCTTGCACATCCGTGGTCATGCATGCTGGAGAGAATACCGCACGCATGCCCCGCATACATGGCCATACCACACATGGCCATACCTGAGGATTGAGCAGGAGAGCATTGGCAGAGATGGCAGCCGGCACGAGGCGCACTCGAAACGCCATGAGGTTCTGCTTGTGCAGCGATGGGGTGCGGTTCAGCAGCAACCAATCCCCATCCGCCAAGTGGCGCAGCACCATCATCCCTACCACTGTCCCTCCACCATCGTTGTCACCAGCAGCGCCAACAGCAGCAGCAGCAGCAGTGGGTGTTATTCCGGCAAGCAAGGCTGAGCTCACGTATGCTGCTAAGGCAGCAGACGCACGCACTGACGAGGGAGGCGCGGCTGGTGCAGGTAAAAGTGGTGCAGGCGCCACTCCTGCTGCTGCTGCTCCTGGTGCTGCTGGAAACGGGTCAGCAGGAGCACAGATCCTGACACCACTGACCATGGCAACTCGTGACGAGGTAACGCCTGGCCCAGTCCCCACCTGCAGGTCAAGACCACGGGACCGCCATCGGCTCAGGGTCACCTTGGTCCAATCAGGCTTGCCCTCTCTGGCCTCGGTAACACCAGTAGCACCTGAGCCAATGAGCACGCTGAATGCGCCGACAGGTGGCAGTACGTGATTGGGCGGGTGGGGAGGGGCGTGGCCGGACGAAGAGAAGGGTGCAGGTGCTGCTTGTTGTGGTGGGGCGCTGGGTCCAGCTAAGCCAGCATCAGGTGCTGCACCCCAGGCGTTACCACCTGCCCCCCAGGCGTTACCACCTGCCCCCCAGGCGTTACCACCTGCCCCCCAGGCGTTACCACCTGCACTCGTGCCAGCACCAGCAGCAGAACCGCCACTCCCCCCCCATCCACCAGCACCACTAGCACCACCGGCATCATTGCTCCCCCAGCCAGGAGCACCACCAGCAGCACCACCAGCAGCAGCACCACCACCACCCCAACCACCACTATTACCATCACCAGCAGCAGCACCACCACCACCCCAACCACCACTATTACCATCACCAGCAGCAGCAGCACCACCACCCCAACCACCACTATTACCATCACCAGCAGCAGCAGCACCACCACCCCAACCACCACTATTACCATCACCAGCAGCAGCAGCACCACCACCACCCCAACCACCACTATTACCATCACCAGCAGCAGCAGCACCACCACCACCCCAACCACCAATATTACCATCACCAGCAGCAGCACCATCATTCCTTCCCCATCCACCACCACCATCACCACCACCACTGGCATCATTGTTCCCCCAGCCTGTAGCACCAGCAGCAGCAGCACCACCACCTCCACCACCATTACCGGCAGCAGTAGCAGTGGCATCATTATCGTTACCACCCCAACCACCAGAAGGACCACCACCACTGGCATCATCGTTCCCCCAGCCAGCAGCACCAGCACCAGCAGCACCACAACCAGCACCGCCACCGCCACCCCAACCAAAATCATCACCGCCAGCAGCAGCAGGAGCAGCACCATCGTTACCACCCCAACCACTACTCTTACCACCACTACTAGCAGCAGCAGCATCACCACCACCGCCGCCACCCCAACCACCAGCATCACCGCCCGCAGCAGCAGGAGCAGCATCGTCATTACCACCCCAACCGCCAGCAGAACCACCACCAATACCACCATCGTTCCCTCCCCAATCAGCAGCAGCAGCAGCAGCAGCAGCACCGCCACCCCACCCTCCCCCCGCCTCAACTTCTGGCTCCTTCATATTATCCCCCCCCTGCTCCGTCTCTCCCCATACCCCTTGTGCCACCGCCTTTGTCGTCCCCCCCTCTTTCTTTTCCTCCTCTCCCCATCCACACTGCACTCCCTCCCCCTTCTTCTCTAACTCCTTCTCCCCCTCTCCCCATTCCCCTTGCACCGCTCCCTCCTCATTCCTTTTCCCCTCTCCCCGCCCCCCTTGTGCTTGTGCCCCTTCCTCCACCTGCTTTTCCTTCTCCTCCTCTCCCGTTTCCTCCTCTCCCGTTTCCTCCTCTCCCCACCCCCCTTGTGCCCTGGCCGCCCCCTGCCCCCCCTCTCCCCACCTTCCCTCTGTCTCCACGCCTGCCCTTCGCTCATCACATCTTCCACCATCACCAGTACCAGCAGCAGCAGCAGCATCACTAGCATTCCCACCATCACCAGCACCACCATCACCACCAGCAGTAGCACCACCGGCACCACCAGAAGTACCACCAGCATCACCCGCACCCCCACCAGCAGCATCGGCACCCCATGCACCCGCATCAGCACCCCATGCACCCGCATCAGCACCACCAGCAGAAGCAGCAGCGGAGGCATCAGCCCCCCACCCGTTGCCAGCAGCAGCAGAAGCATCAGCCCCCCACCCGTTGCCAGCAGCAGCAGAAGCATCAGCACGACCACCATCCCCACCACTCCCACCTGCAGCAGCAGCGCCATCCGCACCACCACCAGCGGCACCAACACCATCCGATCCCCATGCACCCCCCCCACCACCACCATCCGTTCCCCATGCACCACCACCACCAGCAGCAGCATTGGCCGCTCCAGGAGTAGCGGCACCCACAGAACCACCCCAACCACCAGCACCACCACCAGCACCCCACGGCTCATCAGTAGGTGCACCCCTGGCTCCACCCGCACCACCATTCCAACCACCACCACCACCAGCACTCCCTTCCCCGCCTGTGTCCAGCGGTGGTGGCAGAGGCAGCGGGCATGGGCCTGCATCGACACAGGCTTGCAGAAAGTGCAGGTTGAGGTGAGACACGAGCTCCTGGGGAAAACATAGACAGGCAGGGGAGGGCGGTAGAGGTGAATGAGAGTGAGAGGTGCAAGCTGTGAGCAGAGGCAGCGGGCATGGGGGTGCATCGACACATGATTGCAACAAGTCCAGGTTGAGGTGAGACACGAGCTCCTGGGAAAAATATAGAGGGGCAGAGGGGAGGGCGGTAGAGGTGAATGAGAGGGAGAAGTGCACATTGTGAGCAGAGGCAGCGGGCATGGGGGCCTGCATCGACACAGGCTTGGAGGAAGTCCAGGTTGAGGTGAGACACGAGCTCCTGGGGACAGCAGAGCGAAAACACAGAAAAAGGGAGGGGGAAAACAGAGAGGTAGGCATAAGGTCAAACACAAGATGAAGTGTCTAGGGGCGGTGGGAAGGGTAGAGAGCATGGGGGCCTGCATCGACATAGGCTTGGAGGAAGTCCAGATCGAGGTCAGACACGAGCTCCTGGGGAAAGAAGAGGGAAACCACAGAAAAAGGGAGGGAGAAAGGAAGGGGAATAAGCTTTAAGTTACGCACAGACTCTTGTGTCTAAAGGGGGCTCAGAGCGCTTGCCCTAGTGGAGTGACGTCTGGGTTGATTTCAAACGCACCAGAACAAAGAGGCCAGCGGCAATGGACGGCGGAACACAGATATCATGCAGAGCAAGGGAGAGGTTCGGTGTGATGGCATCACGGCAAAGGATTCGAAACACTTACCCTAGTGGAGTGACGTCTGGTGTGATTTCAAACTCACCAAAACAAAGAGGCCAGCGGCAATGGAAGGCGGAACATCAATATCATGCAGAGGGAGGGAGGGGTCAATGGCGATAACGGCGCGAGCGGAGGACACAGAACGCTTGCCGAAGAGACTTCTGGGTGGATCCAGAGTCCACCTGAACGAAGAGACCAGCAGCAATCGATGGAGGGACAGCAATGTCGTGCAGAGCAAGAGAGGGATCTGGGGCAATGACAACCCGGGCAGAGGACTCGGAGCGCGTGCCGAGGATGGCGTGGCGGATGAACCCCTTGGAGCGAGCGGAGTAGGAGGAGGTGCTGAGTTGATTTAAAGCTCACCTGGATGAAGAGACCAGCAGCGTTGGAAGGTGGAACGCCTATCTCGTGCAGAGCGAAGGAGGGGTCGGGAGCAATGACGGCCCGGGCAGATGATTCGGAGCGCTTGCCTAAGATACTTCTGTGCAGATCGCCAATCTCGTGCAGAGCGAGGGAGGGATCTGGGGCGATGACAGCCAGGGCGGAGGACTCGGAGCGCTTGCCCAAGATGGCATCGCAGATGAACCCCTTGGAGCGCGCGGAGGGAGTGTTGGGTAGATCCAGAACTCACCTGGACGAAGAGCCCAGCAGCAATCGATGGAGGGACGCCAATCACATGCAGGGCAAGAGATGGGTCGGGAGCGATGACAGCCCGGGCGGAGGACTCAGAGCGCTTGCCGAGGATGGCGTCGCGGATGAACCCCTTGGAGCGAGCGGAGGAGGAGGTGGCGTGGCCCTTGAAGCGCTGCTCTATGCCCAGCCCTGACTCGTGCAGGATGGCCTGCGGTGGGCGAGTTTGGGAATGGGGTGGAAGAGAGGGGGAGAAAGTGGAGGCCTTTGAGGAAAGCCTCTCAGAAATTCCCCTTGAAGCGCTGCTCTATGCCCAGCCCTGACTCGTGCAGGATGGCCTGCGATGGGTGGTGGGGAGTGGGGAGTGGGGAGTGGGGAGGGGAGTGGGGTGGAAGAAAGGGGAGAAAAAGTGGAGGCCTTTGAGGAAGCCCTGCCCCTTGAAGCGCTGCTCCAAGCCCAGCCCTGACTCGTGGGTGGGATGGCCTGCGGTGGGTGGTAGGGAGGGAGTGGGGTGGGAAGAGAGAAGGGAAGCCTCTCACGAGTGGCCCGTGAAGCGCTGCTCCAGACCCAGCCCGGACTCATGCAGGATGGCCTGCGATGGGTGGAGGGGGGTGTGAAGGAGGACTAGAAGGGAGGAGAAAAGAGGATTGCTTACTGTTTATCAGTGGAGTTAGCAATGGACGCACTAGGGAGTTGGGCGCACCTTATGTACTGATTGGGCGGGCACGCAACGAAGTAGGGTTGCAGCTGCACTTTGTTGAAACTTCCTCACCCTGCTGAGCGCCAGCTGCACTCACACAGCCATGCCTCCCTCCATCCCACAAAGTACTGTTGACTTGCTTGCAGACAACAGTGCATGCATTGAGACTTACTCTGCAATGGTTGGGACGCCTGGCAAATTAGGGTTGCAGCTGCACTTTGCTGAAACTTCCTCACCCTGCTGAGCGCCAGCTGCACTCGCTCGCACAGCCATGCCTCCCTCCATCCATCCCACAAAGAACTGTTGACACGCACCCAGCAGTGCATGCAACGAGACTTACCTTGTACTGATTGGGAGGCCGGACAAAATAGCGCTGCAGCTCCACCTGCACACACACTTCCATGCCTCCATCCCACTTTATGTCGACACGCACCCAACAGTGCATGCAACATGACTCACCCTGTACTGGTTGGGAGGCCGCACAAAGTAGTGCTGCAGCTCCACCTGCAGCCTCCTCTGCCTGATCAGCGCCAGCTGCACTCGCTCCGCCACGCCCCCATCCCCCTCTGCACTGTTGAATTGCACCCGCCGGTACTTGCCCTTCCCATGCAGCAGAGCTTCGATTTCTGTGTTCAGCCGCACCATCGCCCTTAGGCGCACAGACAGGTAGTCCTGGGGTTAGGGGATGGGGGCGTGGATGGTTGAATTGCACCCGCCGGTACTTGCCCTTCCCATGCAGCAGAGCTTCGATTTCTGTGTTCAGCCGCACCATCGCCCTTAGGCGCACAGACAGGTAGTCCTGGGGTTAGGGGATGGGGGCGTGGATGGTTGAATTGCACCCGCCGGTACTTGCCCTTCCCATGCAGCAGAGCTTCGATTTCTGTGTTCAGCCGCACCATCGCCCTTAGGCGCACAGACAGGTAGTCCTGGGGTTAGGGGATGGGGGCGTGGATGGTTGAATTGCACCCGCCGGTACTTGCCCTTCCCATGCAGCAGAGCTTCGATTTCTGTGTTCAGCCGCACCATCGCCCTTAGGCGCACAGACAGGTAGTCCTGGGGTTAGGGGATGGGGGCGTGGATGGTTGAATTGCACCCGCCGGTACTTGCCCTTCCCATGCAGCAGAGCTTCGATTTCTGTGTTCAGCCGCACCATCGCCCTTAGGCGCACAGACAGGTAGTCCTGGGGTTAGGGGATGGGGGCGTGGATGGTTGAATTGCACCCGCCGGTACTTGCCCTTCCCATGCAGCAGAGCTTCGATTTCTGTGTTCAGCCGCACCATCGCCCTTAGGCGCACAGACAGGTAGTCCTGGGGTTAGGGGATGGGGGCGTGGATGGTTGAATTGCACCCGCCTGTACTTGCCCTTCCCATGCAGCAGAGCTTCGATTTCTGTGTTCAGCCGCACCATCGCCCTTAGGCGCACAGACAGGTAGTCCTGGGGTTAGGGGATGGGGGCGTGGATGGTTGAATTGCACCCGCCTGTACTTGCCCTTCCCATGCAGCAGAGCTTCGATTTCTGTGTTCAGCCGCACCATCGCCCTTAGGCGCACAGACAGGTAGTCCTGGGGTTAGGGGATGGGGGCGTGGATGGTTGAATTGCACCCGCCGGTACTTGCCCTTCCCATGCAGCAGAGCTTCGATTTCTGTGTTCAGCCGCACCATCGCCCTCAGCACAGCCCCTATCTCTCTGCATTCAGCCGCACCATCGCCCTTAGGCGCACAGACAGACAGGTAGTCCTGTGTGGGGTGCCCTTCCCATGCACCGGAGCTTCTTCTTCTGCGTACAGACAGACAGGTACACCTGCTTGGGGTGACGGGGGGGGGAAGAGAGATACGGGGGATCCAGATGGCATGACAAAGATAGCGTCAAATTCCACCACTTTCACTTCACCTACTCCCATACCCCTTCACTCTTTCAAGTCTCCCATACCCCTTAGCTCTTCACGTATCCCATATTGGCCACCTCTTTGCTACCCAGCCCTCTCATTCCCACATTCTCACCTCTTGCTTCTTGTCGTCAGCAGTCTCTGAGTGTCGCAGATGGTGCAGCGGCACGGTCAACGCCCCAACACTCCCTAACTGAAGACGCAACACGCCTGCTTTTTCCCCCTAGTTAGTTCTCTCCGTTTATCCCTCTTTCCTCACCTCCTGTTTCTCGTCGTCAGCATTCTCCGAGTGTCGCAGGTGGTGTGGGGGCACGGCCCACGCCCCCACAATGCCCGACTCCAGACACACCTGCACCGCCCTAAGCAGAGGCACACGTACGCCCTGCCCCACATCCACCTCCACCACCTGCCCCATCACGCCCCTATTCTTCTTTACGCTTGCCTTCTCCTTGCCTTTCCCTTGCCCTTGTCCTGTCCTGTCATTATCCGCCTCTGCTGTCTTGTCATTATCCGTCTCTGCTGCCTTGTCATTATCCGTCTCTGCTGCCTTGTCACTATGCGTATCTGCTGTCTTGTCATTATCCGTCTCTGCTGTCTTGCCAGCGCCCCTCTCCTCCCCTCCCTGCCGGCCCGCATTTGCATGCAGGGCTTTCTCTAAGAAATCTTTTGCCTGCCAAATGCACACACGCGCGCGTGTGTGCACACACACGCGCACGCACAAGGAAGCACGAGAAGAGGTGTCAGCCAGAGCAAGGGCAAGAGCAAGAGCAAACGATACAGAAACTTTCTCAGATATCAAACAGCCAGCATGCCTAAAGAGAGAAAAAAAAAGGAACAAAAACTGAAAGAAACCGACTCGCCGACTACACGGGGGTAAGGAACAGGGCCATCCACCAAGGGTGGGGTTTTCGGTGGTGGGCAATCCCTGATCTCCCCATCCCCTCGTTCTAAGGCGCCTCAACACTAGCGCTGAGTACAAGCTTAGGGAACCGGACGCTCACGCTCCATGAAGGGTGGGATCTCCTGTGCAGGGCAGACCCTGATCGCCCCATCCCCTAGTTTTTGAGGCGCCTCAATACTAGTGCTGGCTCCAAGCGTAGGGAACAGGACGCACCATGAAGGGTGGGATCTCCTGTGCAGGGCAGACCCTGATCGCCCCATCCCCTCCCTCCGCCCCCGCCCCCATCTCTCCTCCCAATCGTCCCTCTGGGAACAGCAGATTCCAGAGGCCCAGCAGCAGCTTGTCATTCTTGCACGGGCGGAGCCACAGAAAGCAGTGGGCCAAGGGATCGCCCCCCCCTGCTGCTGTGGATGTTGCACTCTCATTGCGCCAGCCGTCCACAACCTGGTACCACTTTCGGCGCTGGTGAGGGATAAGTGGGAAAATGGTGCACGAGGAGAAGAGAGAGGGGAAGAAGGAAAGCTTGTTGTAACGAGGTGAGGAAAACCTCACCTGAAGAGGGAAGGGGAGATTTTCAGGTGAGGTGAGGGTAGACGACCTAAAAAAAGGCCGACAGAGCACCATCTTTTGCTTGACAAAACCTGCCCCTTTCGACCGGAACAACCACCCCATTTTTATTTGCCCAGACCCATAGTGTATCCTATTCCATCCTATCCTCATCCATTTCCTATCCTATTCCATCTCCCCAGCACTAACATGGCACCAGACGCATTCATCCTCCACTAGACTCTTCTTCTGAGGCGCCTCAAAATAGACTGCCCAGACCAGACCCATAGCATCTCCTATTATTCTCTTTCCCCAACCCAGCACTAACCTGGCACCAGACGCATTCATCTTCCAGTAAGTTCTTCTGTTCGTTTGTCTCGTTGTCATTCTTCTGCATTCGTCCACCGTCACCCTCTGCCTCCCCTGCAGCACAGCTCTTCTCTCCCCGCCTCTTCTTGCCTTTGCCCACCCTCCCAACCGCCTCTTTCTGCTTCCGCTTCTTCACCACCACCTCCACTCTCTCACCCCCACCCTCCCCACCTTCTTCTCCTCCCACCCCACTCTCCCCTCTCGCGCTGACCTCACTATCTCTCTCCATCCTGCTATGCTTAAGCAGGTCGCTCTTTAACTCCTCATCCTCATCCTCTTCCTCTTCCTCCTCTGCCCCCCCTCCCCGCCTTCCTCCACCCCTGCCCTCTCTGCTCCCTCCGCTCCCTCCGCTCCCTCCTCTTCTTCTTCCTCTTCCTCACCACCAAAAAGTCCCCCTTCCATCCCCCTCTCCCTCTCCTTCTCCCGCTCCCTCCTCTCCTCCTCCTCCGCCTCTCTCGCAGCAGCTGCATCCCCCGCATCCTCCCAGCCCCTGCCACCCGCACCCCCATCCTCATCCATCTCGTCTTCCCCATCTTCTCCCTCCACCCCCCCATGCGCCCCTCCCTCCCCAACCCCTCCCCTCTCCATCTCCTCCGCCCTCTCTTCCAGCCTCCGCTCCTCTTCCTCTAACCGCCTCTCCTCCTCCTCCTCCTCCTCCTCCCCCTCCCCCTCCTCCTCCTGCTCCTTATTCGCTGACTTCTCTTCTCCACCCCCATTTCCATCACTCTCACTCTCACTAGACCCATCCCCCTCCTCCTCCCCTCCCCCCTCCTCCCCACCATCAACACCCCATCCGCCATGCTCCCGTCTCCTTCCCCTCCTCCTGCCTCGCCCCACCCCTCCTTCCCCTCTCCTCCGCTCCCTCCTCTCCTTCGCCTCAGCTGCCCTTCGCTCCCTCGCTTCAGCTACCCTCCTTTCGTTCTCCACAATGCCAGCCGGCCTGTGAAGAGCCATTTTCGGCCGCATACTGTACCGAAACGCCCCTGCACGTCCCACCTCTCCTCGCCCCTCTCCTTGTGTCTCCCCTCGCCCCTCCCCTTGTCCATCACCCTCATCATCCCGCCCACCTCCTGATTCCGCTTCCTCTCCCTTCCTTCGCTCTCCCTCTCCCTTCTCTCGCTCTCCCCCTCCCCTCTCTCGCTCCTCCTCTCCTTCCCGTTGCCTCTTCCTCCTTCGCTCAGCTGCATACTCCCGCCAAATCCTCCGCTGCTCCTCCCTTGATACGGGGCTAGTTTTCTTACTCTTTTTGGGGCTCTTCTTTCCGCCTCCGCCTCCAGCCCCAGTTCCCCTCCCTCCCCTTCTTCCCTCCCCTTCCTCCCGACTAAGCTCTGGGGTTGCCGAGGCTGTCACACGGCAATCGAATTCCCCTGCCTTGACCCAGGCACCTCCACGACGTCACCCTCACTGTCAGAGGCACGGGCATCATCATTATCAGCATCAGCATCCGAACCATCGCCCCCACCATCACTTCGGCCAGGCTTGAGACGCCTCAAAACCTGGGAATCGCCACCGCCATTGCCAACGCCAATGCCATGGCCCCCACCGTTGCTTCGGCCGCCCCCATCATCATCTTCCGAATCTTCCGATCCTAGCACGTACTCGACTCTACCTTCACTCCCAGCAGCGCGTACTCTGCTCGGCCCTGCCACAGGTGCCCCCTCGTCCCCCTCGCCTTCCCCCACTTTCTCTTCTTCCTCCTCTTCCCACTCCTCCACTTCCCACTCATCCTCATCCTCATCAAACAATTTCCCCTTCCCCTTTCCCTTCAGCACCGCCCGTCCCCTCTCCCTCCTTTCTCTCCGCCCCCCCTCCGAAACAACCCCTTTATCCTTACCTTTCTCCTCTCCCCTGTCTCTCATTCCCCCACTCCCCCTGCCTCTGAGCGCCCCATTTTCCGCCCCCCTGCGCCCCCCCACACCACCAGCACCGCCATCAATATCATCAGCATCGTCATCAGGAAGACTTGAGAGCATCCGCCTAGCACCCTGAGGGGGAGACGGTCGGGAGGGAGAGGCAGGGAGGGACGGAATGGAAGAATCACAGGATATAGCATCATCTCCATTTTCGACAAGGACATCCGCCAGCATCCACCTACCACCCTGAAAAAGAAGGAAAAGCAGCAGAAAAGGAGGGAGGGAGGGGGCAGCGCAAGGGAGCGCAGAAGAGGTGGGAAAGACTCGAGGGTGGGAAGATAGAAAATGTGGGAACAAGGAAGCGAAAGATTCGCCGAGGGGGCTTACCGGCCCAATGAAGCCAACTTGTCGGAACTTCTCGCGAAGAGGAGCCGGCGTATCGTTGTCACTGTCACCATCTTCTTTGTCATCCTCATCACCACTCTCGCTCCGAGATTCAGAATCCGAAAGCGAGACCACTTCCTGATTTCCCCACCCTTCCCATTTGCCACCCTCACCATTCCCTCCTCCTGCCTCGCCTGCTGCTCTACACTCTCCTCCCCTCCCTCCATCCCCTTCTCCCGCACCCTGCATTCCCTCTCCTCTCATCACATCCATTCGCCCCATAGTCTGCTGCACCGCCTCCCCTACAGCAGGGACACCCTCCTCACTCTTCTCCTTATCTTGTGCCTCCCCACTCTGCTCCCTCTCCTGCTCCTCCTCGCTCTTCTCTCTCTGTCCGCTCAGCCCCTTGCTCTCAGTGGCTTGAGAAGGGGTACCGGGGGAAGATGCTGCACCATCTGCTCCTGCTGCCTTGACTTCGTCGACTGTTCCTGCAGCCTCTGCGTCCACTGCTGCGGCTGTATCCACTACTGCCGCTGCTGCCGCTGCTGCTGCTACTGGTGCTGGTGCAGCTGACGTTCCAGCCTGAACGGCTTCGCTCTTCCCTTTCCCTTTCTCTCTACTTTCCCCCTCCCTCACTCTGTATTTTCCCCTCCTCTCCTCCCCCTCTGTCCCCCGCCGGCGCTTCTGCACTGTTCCTTTGTTCGCTTTGCTGCCCGCTGCTGCCAGGGAACCTGAGAAGAGCTGCGGGGGCGAGAGCAGGACAGGGGAGCGTGGACACAACAACAGGGTCTCGTAGTGAGACGGGAATGAACCGGAGGCAGAATGCACCGTTTGCAGAAACAAACGACTAAAGCGACCCAAGGGCGGGCACAAATGCACCATGTGACAAATTGGACCGAGCATTCGCGCTGTGATAGCCAGAGAGGCAAGGGCCATGGCAGAGCTGATGATTTGTAGAGGCAGGGGCGCAGGCAGGAGCGGAGGGTTTGTACATGTCCGTGTGTGTCTGTAGTGTGTTTCTGTATGAGGCATCCATGGGCTTGGGTCAGTGAGTGGCGGTGGCAGGAGCAGGTGGTACAGGTCTGTGTGTGCTTCTGCATGGGGCTCACCTGGGCTTGAGCGTACGCTGGCGAGTGGCTTACCTGCCAGGTAGTACCTGGGCTTGGGCACACGTGGTGAGAGGCTTACCTGGGCTTGGGTGGGTGAGCGGCGGGGGGGCTGCCATTCCTTGCCACAGGCGAGGCAGAAGGAGTTGAGGGTGGTGACCAGCAGAGGGCGCAGCAGGGGGTGATAGAGCGGCATCTCCAAGGCTATGTGCCCGAAATGGCCTGGAGGGAGAGGGAGGGGCGTGGGGTGGGGAGAGGGAAGTGTTTTGAGGCGCCTTAGAACAGGCAAGCAAGAAGGTTAGAGAGTGGTCAAGATGATAGGGCACAGAGGGCGCAACAGGGGGTGGTACAGGGGGTGGTACAGCAGCACTAAACCCTGTACACGTCAGCAGCCCTCTCACTCACCTGTACACGTCAGCAGTCATCTCACTCACCTGTACACGTCTGCGAAGGCTTTCCGCACATGCCACATCGGCTCTCCTTCCGATCCCGCACCCCCAGAAGCGAACTGCTGACGTCAGCAGGCTTGGTGCATTTGAGCACCGACCAGCGTTCCTGACGATTTTGGGGGGCGGGGGAGGAGGGGTGGAGGCGGGGTGGAGGAAGTCTCAGAGAAACTAGTACGGTCATCTTGGCATTCAAAACAGAATTCCGCCTACATGACAAAGAGTATAGCCAACTGTTAGGCAAGTCTGGGATGGAAGTGAGATGCTGGAATCTTCGTTATTTCTGTTTTTCCAAGCACCAGCTTAGTTTTAGCCAGATAACTGCCCACATACCACGTCCGTCCACTTGGCAAGCTCGAACGTCAGATTTTCGACGCGCTCCGCCATGGGAGGCAGTAGTCTCTAAGTCTTCCGCTGATAAGAGATTTGCACCCCAGTAAGCACAAACAAGCTTCGCTCCCAACGAGGTAGTTATGTTGTGCTAAGCTTCTCTGGCTGGTGCTGTGCAGAATTTGCAGAATCTGCAGAATCAGGAAACTGGTTGGTGCTAAGCTGAATCAGAAATCTGGGTGGAGCTAAGCTGAGTCTACATTCTGGTTGGTGGTAAGCAGAAGCTAAGCCTGAGCGGAGGACGCGGAATAAACGAAGAGGAGAGGAGGTTTCTAAATTTCAGGTCCACCACCGCGCTTGAGCAGGCGTTTAGAGAGTGCTACTTGATAAGAATGTCAATGTCTTGTCGGTAATGAGACGCCTGAGAGACGTTTTACGAGGCGCATTGTGAGGCGAAGATTCGCGGTCAGCAGAAATCCGAGGAGCAGGACGAAGGCCCATGAGCGAGAAACGAGGCTAGGTGTAACTTTTTCCTCCTAGCTTCGCTGTACTTCGTGAAGCTATAATGGTGGAGGCTAAATAGAGAGTGAGATATACGGACAGCCTGACAGCCTGACACGCGACATGCAGGCGTTCAGGCTTGTATGTCACGCCTTATGCCTGAACGGCTTTCAGGCTCCAATGTGCCCGAGCCATTTTTAAGGCTCAATGTGGGAGCAAATAACCGAAACCTATTATACCGAGCATATTGGGATGCCATGCGTGGGTCTAATGCCAGGCAGGCAACCCTCCCGATATTTTTTGTCAGAGCCGTTGGCTTGATATCTGTCAGGCGCATTTCAGGCTGCTGCTGTTCGACAACTCCTATATTTGATGTTCTGCTGTTTGGGAACGCCGAAGCGTTTTGGCCCCCAAACACCCGATATAAAGCTTTTCCGAAACGATTCCAAGAAACATTTGCGCTAGAGTTGAAAGTTGGATTCGGCATTACTGTTTTTACATTCGAGTGAACATCATTGTAAACCGCTCCAGCATTTCTCATACACGCAATCTTATTCCCTGCGAGAAGTAAAATCTTGAAATCCAGGCATTTTTGCTGGTGGCGTCTCATACATGTGGTGGAAATGGCTGTTTCTTGAAGAGCACGTTTCCCTTCCATTTTTGTGGTACTGTACCGTATTGGAGACGAGTCTGCCGGGTTCAACGGTTTCACCCGCTCCACTGGTAGTTCAAATTCCTACTCATCCCGCGTTCGTGTAGTTCTTCAATCGTCATTCCGCGTCCGACATATTTCACGTGCCGACTGAGCCGAGATACCTATTTTCTGGCTGCCAGATTGTTCTTGACGTGCATTGCATCCTGATCAGGTCGAGAATCTTCGAGCATTGTAGATAAGAGTTCTTACCAATGTCGGTCGCAGTCTCGTAGCACTAGCTTCTCCGATGTTACAGGGCTCATGAAATTGAGCACCAATGGCGGTCGCAGTCTCGTAACGTTAGCTTCACCAAGCAGGCTTCCGCCAAGGACCCTGTTTTAGAATCATGTCTTGGTAACTTCGCGCGGTTTTTGAGGCGCCTCAAAATTCGCGCGGTTAGAATTCCTCATTTTTAGCGTGTTGACAGGCTCTTTCAAGCCAGCACAATCCTCGTTTCCTTGTACATATTCCCTTACGCCATTTGTTATTTATTTTTTTCGGACGTCTCGGATTCGCGAACTAACGCATCGTACTATAACGCGGCCATGAGCGCGGGACCGTCCGCTGCTCCTCCAGCAACAGTTACCAATTCCAACGCATCCAGCCACAAAATGTCAGCGATGGGATTCGAACAGCGTCTCAGGCTGATGTGTGCGCGCGCACGGCAGATTGACGACGAGGCGGGGACGGGCCTGTCTGAGAGCGAAAGGCAGCACTGCCTGGAGGAGCAGAGGGAGGAGGTGAGTTGAAACAGAGAGAGGGAGGGAGAGAGCGGCCTAGGCTGATGTGCGATCGAGCGAGGCACATCAACGAGGAGGTGGGGCCAGGCCTGTCGGATGGCGAAAGGCAGCAATGCCTGGAGGAGCAGAGGGAGGAGGTGAGATGAAAGCGATGGAGGAGGTGAGGGGAGACGGAGGAAGCGAGTGGCTTGGGCTGAGGTGGGGACGGCCCTATCTGATGGCGAAAGGCAGCAATGCCTGGGGGAGCAGAGGGAGGAGGTGAGATGGAACGGAGAGAGAGACAGGGTGAATTGAAATCGAGTGCAGGGATGAGAAGAGACTGACTTTTAGATGTATACGCTCTTGTGTTTCTACCCATACCAGATCGAAGCCCTCCAGTCCATTTTCGATACCGACTTTGAAGCCATCTGGCTAGCATCGTCCGCCACCTCCTCCCCGCCCTCCCCCACTTCCACTTTCGCCGCCTCTGCTTCCCAAGGTGCCTCCTCCTCCTCCTCCTCCCATGACTCCCCTCCGTCACCAACAGCGAGTTTCACAACCGCGCCTTACAACAGTTTCCTGGTATGGCAGTCACCCTTTTATAAATCGCACAGTAGGATGATGAAGGGAGGTCGTCGAATGCGAGTATAACACTATAGTAGATTGCCTGCTGAGCCCAAACACTTTGTTTAACTTGATTGTTTTTTCGCACGCCTGCCTAAATAGCATCCCTCTCCTTGCTGTCTGCCTAACACTGAGATGTATTTTTTCTTCCTAACACCTGCCCCCTCTCTATGCCCTCATTTACTTTCCCCCCTCCCCTCCCCGTTCAGATTGACATTCGCATTGCCATGCCCTCGCCCCTTTTGGTCGTCTCCTCCCCTCCCACTGCCACCTCCTCCCTCTCTTCCACCCCTTCCTCCTCCTCCTCCACCACCACCACCACCTCCTCCTCCTCCTCCTCCTCCTCCTCCTCCTCCTCCTCCTCCTCCTCCTCCTCCTCCTCCTCCTCCTCCTCCTCCTCCTCCTCCTCCTCCTCCTCCTCCCCCCAACCCTCCACCTCCACCACATCCGCCTCTCGCCAGCCCCCCTCCCTCCTCCTTTCCTCATCTCCCACCTCCCCCTCTCCGCCTCCTCTGTCTCCTCCCCCACTCCTACCCCTCCGCCTCCCCTCCCCTCTTCGCTCTTCTCTCGTCCTGGCTCTCCCACGCCCAGCTGGCACGCCTCTGCGCCCAGCTGGACGCCACGTGGCAGCAGCAGAGTGGCCTGGTCGTGGTGTACACGTGGGCAGCATGGCTGGGGGAGGAGGCTCTTGTGTGCCTTGGGATTGGTCAGGAGCTGCGACTGCTGGGTGGAGGGGGGTGGGGGGAAGTGGGGGGGAAGGGGACAGAAAGGGAGGAGAGCGGCAGAAGAAGAAGAGTAAGGACGAGGCGACATGCCCATGCCAGGACGCACCAGCTGCCTACTGCAGGGCAGTGCCCGAGGGCATGTCTCTGCACGACGACCTGGCGCTGCTGAGGCGGTGGAGCAAGGAGATGGACGACCGCCACTTCCGCGCCTCACTGCACGCCTGCGCCATCTGCTTCTCGCAGAAGCCTGGGTTGGAGTGCGTGCGCCCGGCCTGCAACCACGCGTTTTGCACCGCTTGCATGAGCGCGTTTGCTGAGGCGCTAGTGGGGGAGGGGAACCTCCAGGCGCTCAAGTGCCCTGACACCAAGTGCCGAGCACCTCTGTCCTATGGTACGTTCATGCTCCTATGGTATGTGCGTGCTTGCAACCGTGCTTGCAACCATGCATGCATGAGCGCGTTTGCTGAGACGCTGGTGGGTGAGGGGAACCTCCAGGCGCTCAAGTGCCCTGACACCAAGTGCCGGGCGCCCCTCTCATATGGTGCGTGCATGCATGCTGCTAGGTGCCCCTCGTTCCCTCACTTCCAGGCGTCCCTGCACGCCTGCGCCATCTGCTTCCCGTAGAAGCCTGGAACGGAGTGCGTGCGCCCGGCATGCAACCACGCGTTCTACACCGCTTGCTTGAGCGCGTTTGCTAAGGCGCTGGTGGGTGAGGGAAACCTCCAGGCGCTCAAGTGCCCTGACACCAAGTGCCCAGCACCTCTGTCCTATGGTACGTTCATGCTTCTATGGTATGTGCGTGCTTGCAACCGTGCTTGCAACCATGCATGCATGAGCGCGTTTGCTGAGACGCTGGTGGGTGAGGGGAACCTCCAGGCGCTCAAGTGCCCTGACACCAAGTGCCGGGCGCCCCTCTCCTATGGTACGTGCTTGTTGCTTGCTTCCCTGCGCCTCTCTTTACCTGTCTGCCTGCCCGTTCCCCTCCGGGCTCTGCTGAGGCGGTGGAGCAAGGAGATGGACGACACGACAGGCACTTCGCGGCGTCCCTCCCTGCACGCCTGCCTTTGAGGCGCTGCAGCCACAACCTCCTCCTCCCTTCCTAAGTTCCTACCTCCCCCTTCCCCCAGGTTCAACAGACCTGTTGCGATCGCTGCTCCCTCCTGATCTCTTCACTCGCTAGGAGCAGCTGAGCTGACCCTAAATCCTCCATCCTCCCCTGTCCCTCTCCCCTCTCTGCCCGTTCAACAGACCTGCTGCGTTCGCTGCTCCCACATGAACTCTTCACTCGCTGGGAGCAGCTGACCCTGCAGCGCTCCCTGGACGCCATGCCCGACGTGGTCTTCTGCCCGCGCTGCAGCCAGCCATGTGTGGAGGACCCCTCCGACCACCACGCGCTGTGCCCCGGGTGCTTCTTCTCCTTCTGCGGCATGTGCCGTGAGGGATTCCACCGAGGAAAGACCTGTGTGACTCCGGAGCTGGCCCTTAAACTCATGAAGGTGAGTGTGATGTGCGGAGAGAGGTGCGGTTGAGTTCTCCAAGGTGAAAGAGGTGGAGGGGACTGACAGAACGCTGGAAATCTTGTCTTTTGGTTTTCCTTGCTCAACCGCTCTTCTGCCTGTGTGCCGCTCCGTGTTGTCTCAGGAAGCAAGTACCTACGACAGCAGGGGCAAGCACTGGCTGAGGCTCAGGAAGCAGAGAGTCGTCACGAAGCAAAGTCTGTTGCCCCTCCTCCCTTACTTGGTTTCCTCTTCTCTGTCTCAGCTGTTGGAGCAGGAGTGGGCACTGGCTCTTGAAGAGCTCCAGGAGCAGAAGATTTGAGATGTCTCAAAGCTCAACTTTCATCACACACTTCTCTGCCTTGTGTCGATCCGTTCTGTCTCAGCTGCGGCAGCAGGAGCGAACACTGGCGGAAGAAGAGCTCAGGAAGCAGAAGGATCTCGAGCAACAAGTACTCAGTCTTAAGTAAGTACTCAGTCTTAAGTAAATACTCAGTCTTAAGTAAGTACTCAGTCTTAAGTGAGTACTCAGTCTTAAGTAAGTACTCAGTCTTAAGTACGTACTCAGTCTTAAGTAAGTGCTCGGTCTTAAGCAAGTACTCAGTCTTAAGTAAGTCTCACTTTTCAAGAATGTCATCATTTCGAGGTGGCCTCAGCAGCATGAGTCGATCGCATGAACTGACTTGGTCTGACGAGTCTCGGTTTTGAGGCACCTCAAAACCAACAAGCCTTGGTCTTCCCAAGACTCTCTCTTTCTCTCGTTCTGTTGGCGGAGTAGGGTGCACCGTGCCCCGTGTGCAGCACAGCCATCAGGTGGAGCGAGGGGTGCCTGCCGTGCCGTGCCCCTCTCACCTTCATCTCTCCCTGTCTCCTCCCCTTGGTCCCCCATCTTCCTCTACCCCTCTGCAGGCTAGTGGAGGAGGAGAGTGTGCCGTACCCCGTGTGCAGCACAGCCATCAGCACTCTCTTGAGCTCTCTCCAAGCTTCTCTTTTCACTCACTCCCTCTCCTCTCACTCCCTCCCACTCTGCAGGCTGGTGGAGGAGGAGAGTGTGCCGTGCCCCGTGTGCAGCACGTCCATCAGCAAGAGCGAGGGGTGCAACAAGATGATCTGCCCCACCTGCGGCACCTACTTCTGCTACCGCTGCCACGAGCGCATCTCTGGTTACGACCACTTCACGTGAGTTTCCGATTCACTCATGTAACTGCTGCATATGCTACCATCCCGCCATCCCCTTTCTCTTCCTCCCGCCATCCACCCGTGCCCACCCCCCCCCCCCCCTCTCTCTGGCCTCTAATTCTCCCCTCTTCACCTTGTCTCACCAGCAACGGCACGTGTGTGCTGTTTGAGGCTGCGGAGATCGATCAGTGGGAGATGCAGATGGCAGCCATGGGTGCGGCAAACAACCAGCACCATCGACCCCCGCCTCCTCTTGGGGCGGATGGCAGACCATTGCCTGCAAGACGCTGTCCAAATTGCCGCCAATTCAACCATAAGGTTAGCTCATGGCTAGATTTCCTAAGTTATGCATGCAGGTCGAAGCTCGGGCTGATTTTGGTTCTGGTCTTGCTGTTCCGCTGTTCTGTATGTTTGTCGTTTGTTGAACGTTTTCTGTTTGGCTGTGGCATGCAGGAGGCGCGAAATAATGACATGCATTGTTGGAGTTGCCGCACACGCTTCTGCGGCATGTGTAACCAGGTCATGAGAAATGTGTATCATTTTCGACCAAATGGATGTCGCCAACACACGGATGATTAGCCAACCATGGGGTTTAACTTTTAGGTCAGCATGCTGACTATTCTGGGATAGAAGAGATGCAAGTGGATTTTTGCATGTATATTATGGATGTATGCTCCCTCATTGTTTACTGGCTTTTCTCGTCATATTCTGCCCGAGTGTGTATATTGGAAACCGTGTCTGTCACTAGCGCTTCATGCCGTTAAGCGTAAACGGCGGGCGACACAAACCAGCCTATGTTGCGACTCCATCATGCTAAGGCTTCTGACGTTCACGGGACATCAACTGAGCTTGCTGAGCCGACAAACTGAGCGGCTACGACATTTATTTTCGCAAAGACTGCGCGCGCCAACGGCCAAATTTGCAAAGCCCGCGCCGTGCCGACAGGCCCAACCAAACAAATTTGGCCCTCAAATGCGGCTCGCGATTTCGGGGCTGCCTGCTGCAATTTGCTGCAGCGGCGAATTTGATGCCTTCCCGTGGTTGGCGGCGCGGTTCGCCAATTTTGGTTGGAGTTCTGAGCACGCTGTGGAGGGGAGGAGGTAGGCAGCCAGGCAGGCAGAGAACGCGAGAAAGGGATGAGCAAGACTAGCGAAATGCTGGTTTGGCGTCAAACCACCACTCTTTACTCTCCTCGACCTGGCGCTTCGCGCTAAGCTTGGCCTCGTCGTTCTCCTAAACTCCTCTGTCAATTTCAAATTCCGTCCCGCCCTGATGCTTGCTTTAGTTGCGAACACTGCCGAGCCGACGCCATTTTGTTGACCCGCTCCGCACGTACCGCGTTACCTCACCCACCCACCCACCCACGCCCATCCCTCAGCATCCGACTGTTCAGCCAGCTCCACCAGTTCCGCTCTTTCCACCACCGCCCACGCAGAGAGATTGCGTCAAAGGCCTACATTGCTCGGATAAATCCCTATTTCGGCCGACATTGCGTCTGCTTTCTTCTCACTCCCGCTCGCCACCACCACCGTCCACGGAGAGAGATTTGAACCCTCTCGTTCAAACTCCTCCCCAATAACACCCCATATCACGTCTCGCGTTTCTATTGACCAAGTCAGCACCCTGCTGACTCTCGATTTCCTCTTAGCTCCGTCTCGCGTTCTTCTCTTAGCTTTGGTATTCAGGCAGACGGAGAGCAACCACTGGATCCAGCACTCTTTGCTTATTCTAGACTGCACGTCATCAGCCAGAATTGACCAGCCTGTTTTGAGTCGACTCAAAATTGACCAGCCCCTAACGAGAGGCTGCTTTCCTAGGGACCATCCAGAGGTTGCTTTTGACAAGCCACAATAACCGCGAGTGCGGTTGACTGCCCCGTCTGTCTAGCAGCCTGAATCTCCCGCTCCGGGCTCCGGGCTTGCCTTCGTATCCCATACTCTCAGACAACCGCCAATCCGCGAAATCGCATCACCAGCCATGTCGATTCCACGCCTCGCGAGCGGATCACGCTCGCACACGCGGTTCTCTCCTCTCCTCACGAAGCTGCCTGTCCTACTAGTCAGTTTCCTAGTCGTCGCCATCTCATGTCACGCCACAACCACAGCCGCAGCCGCAGCCGCAGCCGCCTTCCCCCAACTCTCCTCCGCGCACGCCCGGTGGCTGCAAGAGGTCTCCGCTCCCCCTCCGCCCGTCGTCACAACCTCCCCTCCGCCAGCCGTCACAACCTCCCCTCCGCCCGTCGTCACAACCTCCCCTCCGCCCGTCGTCACAACCTTCCCTCCGCCCGTCGTCACAACCTCCCCTCCGCCCGTCGTCACAACCTCCCCTCCGCCCGTCGTCACCACCTCCCCTTCCCCTCCCATTGTGTCGGTTTCTCCCCCACCCGACACCTCCTCTCCCCCTCCCGTTACCACCTCTCCTTCCCCTCCCATTACCTCCCCCTCACCTCCGCTCTCCCCTCCTCCCGCCCCTCCTTCCTCTCCTCCTCCCTCACCGCCTCTTTCTCCGCCTCCTTCCCCCCCCACTCCCCCGCCCTCCCCTCCCCCGACTCCTCCCCCTCCCCCTACCCCGCCCCCGCCGCCTCCCCCGCTCGGAACTTGCCCTTCCTCGTTTACCGTCGGAATGCGGTGTACCAACTGCACCACCCCTGGCGGCTGCATCTGCGACTCGTTCGGCGTGTGCCGGCCCAGCTGTAGCTTCGTGCCGGGCGTTGACTACAAATCGCCCAGGTGGCGGCGCGCGTGCGCCACGTGCCCGAGCAAGCGCGCCGGCGTGCCGAACGCGCAGTGCGCGTGTGACATAAACGGAAGCCAGACGTGCGTGGATTTCTGCGCGCTGCCGGAGAATAACAACGGCGTGACGCCGTGCACGGGATGCAAGAACGCGACGGGCAACGGGTGCGTGTGCGGCCGCGGGCAGTGCGTCGACGCGTGCAGCACGGCGAACCCAATGTCGGCGCTGGTCAGAGGCGCGGCTTGCACCGTCGGATGCTCGTAAGTCGTATTGCTCTCTCGTCGCCCTCTGTCGAACCGTTTAACTAGATGCTACGAGCGACCATTCCCAACTAAAGCAGACGGTTTAAGAAAACGATTGGGGACGTTCCTCGCCTGGTATATCCCGCTCATTTCGTTTTGAGACGCCTCAGAAAGACACTACTAGCACACGTATATCCTGCTCACTCAAGGCCGTTTCTCTGTGTGTGTGCTTGCCTTGGCATGCGCAGGGCCAAGGCGGGTAAGGACGGGTGCGTGTGCTCGCCGTCCAAGGGCAAGTGCGTGCCGTTCTGCAACGAGAAGGACGGCTACCCGTGCACCAACTCGGCGTCCGGCGAAGGCTACTGCCGCGCCGGGCTCTGCTACGACATCTGCGCCATCGCCAGTGAGTGGACGCACTTAAACGACAGGTGCATTCGTGATGAATAGAAGCAATCTAGCAGGCTTTTGAGTCGACTCAGCTACTGCCGCGCCGGTCTCTGCTACGACATCTGCGCCATCGCCAGTGAGTGGACGTTACAGCCATAGCCATTACATGCGACAAGTACGCCAGCCATCATGACGGATAGCAGAGTCATAGCGAACGGATGGAAGTGATCGAGCAGCGAGAAAAGAAAAACAATTATATGCAAATTCCTTATAATTGATACAGACGATTCTTTGTCAGCCTGAGAACCGTTTGGACGAGTGCCGTCTCATCGCCATTCCTCGTCTCCCTCCCGTTCCCCCCCATTGCCGATAGAACCCGGCACCGTTTGCAGCACGTGCAACACGACCAAAGGCGGCTCGTGCGTCTGCGGCTCGTCGGGGAAATGCGAGCCGGACCTCTCGTGCACGGGCCCGTCGCCCGTTCCGCTCGTCCTCAATTCGCCGAACGCCTACCCTTGTACCTCGTGCGCGAACGCGTATTATTACTCGGTTACCAACGTTAACGTGGTTACCGCGCCGGGGTGTAGATGTGCCGCTAAAGGGAAGTGCGTGGAGCCTTGTAACGGGGGATTGGCGGAGGGAGCGGTTTGCAGCGGTGGAGCGGCGTGCAAGGATAATACGAACGGATGCAGGTGTACGAAAGGGACGTGCAGACCGTTTTGCGAGTTGCCTACTAACGAGGGAGCCGCGTGCGGAGATATGTTTTCGCAGCAGGGGACGTGCGTCGGCGGGAAGTGCGTTCCGCGGTGTGGTGTGGCTGGAAGCGACGGGTTACAATGCAGTTACAATTGCACAAGGTACGAAGGGGGAAAGGGAGGCAGGGGGAAAGGGAGGCAGGGGGAAAGGGAGGCAGGGGGGAAAGGGAGGCAGGGGGAAAGGGAGGCAGGGGGAAAGGGAGGCAGGGGGAAAGGGGAGGGGAGAAACAGAGATTCTCTTGGCTGCTTGTCCTGCGCTAATGAATCATCTTCTTCATTCCCCTGCGCTAATGAATCATCTCTCCATTCGTGTGCCATGCCATTTTCCGCATAAGAATGCTGCTCATCCCCTCATGGACGGACATGTGAAACTGTATCCTCCTCGCCCTCTCTATGTGTGTGTGTGCCTATGCTCATCCTCCTCTCCCTCTCTCCCTTTGTCTGCCTGTTGAATTGCAGCCAAGTGTGCTTGTGCTCCGCAGGCCAGTGCAAACCCCAATGTCAGCTGCCGAATGCCGAGGGCGGGGAGTGCTTTGATGGGTGTGACAGCGGGGGGCCGTGCACGTGTTACAGAGGGGAGTGTGTGAATAAGTGTCAGGTGCCGGCCAATGAGGGGAGTAGGTGCGTTGACTGCAGCCGGAACCCCTACTGCAAGTGCAGAAGCGGGCAGTGTGTCAACGAGAGGTGAGGGTGGGTTTGTTTTTCTGAGATAGTACGATAGGCATTGGACAGGAACCCTGGCAAATAAATGGGTGCTGCATTGCTAAACCTAGTCCCAAGGACACTGTCTGTGATAGCTGCTCTGCTCCAAGATAGCTTATGGGGCATCATTGCATGTTCTTCAGCATACCATCTCTGTGTAACTGCTAACTTCCAGTCAATATGGAAAAACTTCTGAAATTGTGCAGCTGAAATCGTACACCTCGCTATTCATTGTCTCTGTACCCAAATCAGTATACCGATTTGCTCTCATTCACGAACAGCAACTACCTACTGAACATGGTTGAACTTTGTGCATGCCTTCCAACAAGAGGTATGAGAAATACTCATAGCGGCTTATAAAGTAGCCAAATTGTGGTGGTGTACTAATCATACAAATACAAATTCGTGTTCTCTGGGAAAAAATGTTAGGAAAGCCGAGCCGGCTGCAAAATATACTGAAATCATGGTTGTGGCTTTGAGGAGCCACCTACCACCGGGAGTGTCTCCCCCCTCCCATCTCATGCTCTTTATGGGATGGAATTTTTCCTGAAGTGTGTATTCTTAGGTGCAGATTTGTAATCAATCACTGTAGAACTCACAATTATGCCAACGGAACCGCGAACCAGCAAACCTTGGTGTCAGCCCCTGCCTGCCAGGAGACCTCCAACCTTCGAAATTCCCGCGCGAATCTCTAGGGCCCATCCTTCTGTTCCACTTCCCCTTCCCTTCTGATCACTCGCCACGCCAGTCTACTTTCAGAGAGGGAAAGCCAGCATCTACTGTACTTCCACAGATGTCACATGATGACTCCACAAAGCTTGATCAATCTCAGGGAATTCGGGATGCCTATTTCAGATTCCTTCTCAAGTCTCTCTCGTTGGGATTCTAGAGCCTCGCGTGAACAAACGTCACAGTTTCAGTGACGTCGCTTGATCGACGCTAACGTCGTCAGGGACTTTGTTCTAGTGAGCTCCTTGTTGTCGCCAGTATTTTCTAGGTTCTGACGAGCAGCCTCGCCCACATCCAGCGCGTGGAGATCAGTCCAGTTCCTGCAGATTCTGTTGGCTTACCTTTTTTTGGTTTAGATTATCGTTTTTGGCTCCTTGTCGGCTTCTTGCTGACAGAGCGTGATAGGTCAGCAGTAGCTAATCATTTAGTTTCTATCAGGTTCAATTGATATTTCCTGCTGAAATCGTCTGTCAAGGATTCGTCTGCGTCCTTCTCTCCGTTCGCTCGGTATTCGTCAGCTCTGTTACTCTTCTAGCTTATGATCCAATCACAAGCGAGCAGACGTCTCGGGAGAAAGCTTTTGAGGTTCCTAACAACGCAACTGGACGTTCCCGGAGTAACCCGTTGAGGCGATTGAGTTAGCAGGGTATTTTTTAGAATTCTAAAAAATACCCGGAGTAACCCATTGAGGCTCCTAGGAGCAATCGGACGTATTAGGAACCGCAGCATCGAGCCACCATGTCCTGGATATTCAATCGAGGCAGCGGCGGCAGCGGGAATTCTCCTTCGCCAGTCGCATCCCCTGCTGCAGCCGCACGCTCCCCCGCAACCGGACTACGATCCCCCATGCCGTCATCGTCCAGGCAACCGATGCCAGGAGCGTCAACGCCTACGCAACCCTCGCCTGCCGTCCTATCCCCATTATCTCCATCCCGAGCCGGCGGATCGCCGGTTGCTGCGTCGATCCCCGACCCGCTGACGTCACGCGCGATTCGGCTGGTGTACAAGGATGACCAGGGCGTGTTTCGGATGGACCCCGAGGCTGTTAGCGCGCTGAGGAGACTGCGAGGACCCCTCGGGGTTGTCGCGGTGTGCGGAAGGGCGAGGCAGGGGAAGAGCTTCATACTGAATCAGGTATTAACGAGGTGGTTGTGAGCAAGGGATGTTTCGGAAGCCCGAGGCCGTTATCGCGCTAAGGAGACTCATAGGAACCCTCGGGGTTGTGCGGAAGAGCAAGGCAGGGGAAGAGATTCAGAGTGAGTCAGGTGACGAATAGTGATCCCTCCACTCTGGATCGGTTCTCTTCAGCTGCTCTCCTCTTTTCGAATTCCCTCATCTCCTCTCCTCTCTTCCCCTTCGTGCCTGCGGGTTCACAGTGGGCCTAACCCCCGTCACCTCTCATGCTTCTTCTCCTAGTTTCTCCAACATTCTCCTTTCTTCTCATGTCTTCCGCCCCTACTCAGCTGCTGGGTCGCAGCAGCGGGTTCACGGTGGGCCCCACGCACCGGCCGTGCACGAAGGGCCTGTGGATCTGGAGCTCGCCTGTCAAGGTGACGGCGCCAGACGGGTCGTCGTACCACCTGCTGCTGCTGGACTCCGAGGGAATCGACGCCTATGATCAAACGGTGAGACGGTTCAACGGTCAAGATTGCATCACAGCACGCTTGTTTTGTTCGCAGTGCGCCCCGCGCACCAGCCAAGCACCTGTACCGCCATCCCCGGCCATGCACCGTGTACCGCCATCCCCGGCCATCAGAGAGGGTTTGTGGGTCTGGAGCTCGCCTGTCAAAAGGCGATGGCGCCAGACGGGATGTTGTACCACCTGCTCGATTCCCTGCTGGCCTCTGAGGGAATCGGCGCGTACGATCAGGTGGTCAGAATTAGATGCTACTAGACGTTTACCTCGAATCGCCTAGCCGACCCCCCCCACCCCCCCCCCCTCCTTCCCCCCCTCACTTTGCGCCGCTACTGTCTCCCTTCCCACTTGTTTCCTCCTGTGTGCAACGCTGCAGGGCACCTACAGCACGCAGATCTTCTCGCTGGCCGTGCTGCCGTAGTGATGTTCCACCCCCCCACTATCCTTCCCTTACCCCTCACTCTCCCCCTCCCCGCACTTCCTCTCCTGTGTGCAACGCTGCAGGGCACCTACAGCACGCAGATCTTCTCGCTGGCCGTGCTGCTGTCGTCGCTGTTCGTGTACAACCAGATGGGTGGCATCGACGAGTCGTCACTCGACCGCCTCTCCATGGTCACTGAGATGGCGAAGCACATCCAAGTGCGCGCATCCTCAGCCTCAGCAGCAGCAGCAGCAGCAGGGTCGGCTGGTGGTGCTGGCTCGTCTACGTCCACACAAGAACTGGGGCTCTTCTCTCCCGTGTTCTTTTGGCTTCTGAGGGTAAGCCATGGTCATGGTGAAGGATGCTCGTTTCCTTCCCAGGTTTTCTTGAGCAGCCTGTCGCTCCTGTGTGTCCTCCCTCCCATTCTGTCTTTCCTCTGACACTCACTATCTCTTGCCTCCCACACTCACTATCTCTTTCCTCTCACACTCACTATCTCTTTCCTCTCACACCTTGCCTCCTTTAAAGCTCCCTCCACTTGTGCCTCTCATACTGTCTGACTCTCCTCCCCTGCCCCTACCTGTCAGGACTTCTATTTCGACCTGACTGAGGACGGGCGGGTGATCACCCCTCGGGATTACCTCGAGACGGCACTCCAGTCCATGGCCGAGGGCTCCGAGTCCGCACGAGCAAAGAACCAGGTGGGATGCAGTTGGTTTGCTCGGTCTATTGCTCGGCTGCTGGTTGACTCCATACCCGTCCCAGTCCATGGCAGAGGACCCCGAATCGGCACGGGTAAAGAACCAGGTGGGATGTGGGCCGTGGGTTGTGGGTTACAGGTTTTAGGATGTGGGTTGTAGGTTGTGCTAGTGTCTGTGTGCACGTACCTCAGTGTCTTGACTAAGAATGTCCATAGCAGAGGACACTGAGTCAGCCAGGGCGAAGAAATAGCTGCTTAGGGGGTTCCGCAGTCTACTGCTCAGTCTTCTGCTCGGCTGCTTCTTGTTCCTGCTGCTCTCTGCACTCACGCTCTCTGCACTCACGCTCTCTGCACTCACGCTCTCTGCACTCACGCTCTCTGCAAGGCTTGCATCAGGTTTGATGTGGGCACCTCTCAGCTCAAGCGGCTCAATCATAACCCCAATCCCCCCCAAACCCTCTCCCCCCCCCTACCCCCCGCCTCCCTTCTCACCCTTCTCAGGTCCACGAGCCCATCCGCTCCCTTTTCCCCAGCCGAGACTGCTTTGGCCTTTGGCCTATTGACGAATTCTCTGCTCCAAACCCAACCCCTCTCCCCCCTTGTCCCCCTCTCAGGTCCGCGAGTCCATCCCCTCGCAATTCCCCGGTCGGGACTGCTTTGCCCCTTGCTTTATCAACGTCGCAGTGTCAAACCCCAAACCTTCCTCCCCCCTTCCCCCCCCCCCACTCCCTCCTTTCTCCCCCTGTCAGATCCGCGAGTCCATTCGCTCCCTTTTCCCAGACCGAGACTGCTTTGCTCTCGTGCGCCCCATCAGCAACGAGAAGCTGCTGCAGAAGCTCGACCACCTGCCGGTGAGTGCTGTTCTGTGCCGTGTCTATACCTCTTTAGCTTAGTAGCTTGTGTTATACCTCGCAGTAGCTGTACAAACACCTTCTTCATGAGCCGCCTTCCTTGTCTCCCCCCCCCTGAAGATATACCAGCTTCGCCCCAAGTCCGTGCAGGGGTTGGGCACATTCACCCAAGCCGTGTTTGTGAGCAATCTTTATTGTATCCTCATATTTCCTGTTTCCCCTTCCCTTCCTTTCTCCCATCTCTCCCTTGCAGATGAACTAGCTAAGGCCGGAGTTCAAGCTCGTGACTTTTGAGTCGACTCATAAGGCCGGAGTTCAAGCTTGTGATAGAAGATTTGCTTTGGGACGTCTCAACTTCAATCTTCCCTTCCCTCCCTTTCTCCCATCTCTCCCTTGCAGATGGACCAGCTAAGGCCGGAGTTCAAGCAGGGGCTGGACGCTTTCACGCAGTCAGTTTTTGCGCGCGCTCGCCCCAAGAGGGTGGGCGGCACAGTTATGACTGGGCCCATACTGGCCGGGCTCACTCAGACTTATATCCAGGCGCTCAATAACGGGGCTGTGCCCACCATCCTCAACTCCTGGCTGGTGAGTGTGCGAGTGGATCTCTGGCGATGTGTGTGTGTGTGTGTGCGCACGTGCGTGCGCGCGCGCGTACGAGCGCACATTTATTTACTGTGACGCACTCAATAACGGGGCTGTGCCCACCATCCTCAACTCCTGGCTGTTGAGTGTCCGATTCGGTGCATGTGCATGCGTGCATGTGTGTGGGCGCGCGTCTCCCTCTCTTGCCTCGTCTCTGTGTTGTTCTTGGCATCTTCCTCTTTGTCTGCAGTTCTCTCGTCTTGCTAATTCCTTCCCTGTGTCCCCCCCTCCTTCCTCGCCCTGCCTTCCTCTCTCCTCCTCCTCTCCCTTCTCCCCTCTCCCAGAGTGTGGAGGAGACGGAGTGCCGCAGGGCGTTCGAGGCTGCACTGGAGGCGTACACGAGGGCCTTTGGGAACCCCGCCTCTGCTGATGAGGTAGGCATTTGAATTGGGTGCCCCGGGTTCAGGAGAGAGGTGGTTGAGTCAGCATCGGGAGCATACGTAACAGAGAATCGAAGTGCCTCTTTTTGAGTCTTATTTATAAACCCTGAATCTCTCACCTCCCCACACCTCCCCATGCCTCCCCTTTACCAGGACGACCTGAGAGCTCGCCACAGGGCAGCCCTGCTAGCAGCGGAGGCGGCGTTCAGAGAGGAGGCGGTGGGGGAGGGGCAGGCACGGCAAAAGTATGAGGAGAAGCTGAGGGAGGAGGCTGGGAAGAGGTTCGAGGTGAGACATTCTGGTGGGGGAGTGAGGGCGGGGGTGCAGGTTGGTGGCAAGAGTTCCAGGCAAGGGTAGGGTGGGGGGGGTATTGACCCATGTGATCCATACAACTGTGCTTGTATGTGCATGTTGATGAATGGATGTGCTGAAGCGGGTGGCAGCAGAGGCCGAGGTGCAATGCAGCCGGTTTGTTGACGCCCTTCAGTACAGACCAAGGAGGGCCTGGCAAGGGGTTGCCCCCCACCCTCCGGGCGTCTCACCGCTGACACTTTTCTGTATGATCTGAGTGATCCATCAGTGAGGAGTCTATTTTTGAGGCGCCTCAAAAATAGACTCCCCACCCTCCGGGCGTCTCACCGCTGACACTTTTCTGTATGATCTGAGTGATCCATCAGTGAGGAGTCTATTTTTGAGGCGCCTCAAAAATAGACTCCCCACCCTCCAGGCGTCTCACCGCTGACACTTTTCTGTATGATCTGAGTGATCCATCATGGCTATGTCCCCGCTGCTCCCCGCTGCTCCCTGCTGTGCACCTACACAGGATGTGCTGAAGCGGGTGGCAGCAGAGGCGGAGGTGCGGTGCACGCGGTTCCTAGATGCCTTGGAGGCAAAGGTCAAGGGCCTGGCCAGGGGCCCTCCCCGGGCGGCTACTGCTGACGTGGTGCGTGCGCTGCTCGCTGAGCTGGCGGCGTACGAGTCGTCCATGTCGGGTGCTGCCAAGTGGCGGTGCTTATCTGCGTTCCTCGTCGCCAGGTCAGCATGAGATGGGTGCTGAGTGCGGGGTGGTCGCTGTGAAGTCGTGGCGTTGTGGAGTTATAAGGAGACACGGAGAGGCTTGTACGGGAAGATTTGTTTGGGCTAGAGGTATTTTTCATTCCCCGTGCCCTCCCTCCTTTCCCTAGTTCCCTCCTTTTGTGCTTTGCCAATCAGCAAATAGGGTTTCTCGCCTCATGTATGCCCCTCATCCCCATCTTCACCCCCCACCCATTTCTGCACTGCTCTCTTTCTGCCCTCCTCCCCCTTCACCTCCTCTCCCCTTATCCTATCTCCCACCCCCCCCGCCCCCTCTCCACCCCCCCGCCCCCCAGCTTCCCCTCGCAGGATGCATGGCCTTATCTTCCCTCTTGTCTAATCTCCACTTTGTCTCTTGTGCTTCCCCCCTCCACCCACCCCTTTCCCGTCCGTTTCCGCCCCTCCATGCCCTGATTCCCCTCTTCCCTTCTCAGCATGCGCGGCCTTGTGTTGGACTCAGCTGAGAAAGAGATTGCCGAAGCAAAGCAGCAAGCCTCGTCCGCATTCAAGGACAAGCAAGCCGCCGAGGCTCGGGCCTCTGCTGAAGCTGCGGCGGCGGCTCGGGAGGCCGCTGCAGCTGAGGACTGGAAGAAGCGGGTGGCAGCAGTGGAAGGACAGCTGGCGGACGCTCATAGGCTGGTTGGGGAAGGGAGGGAGGAGAGGGAGAGAATGAGAAAGGAAGTTGAGGAGGGGAGGAGGAGGGCGGAGGAGAGGGAGAGGGAGTGTGCGGGTTTGAGGAAGGAGGTGGAGAGAGTGAGGGAGGGAGGGGAGAAGGAAGTGAGGAGGGCGGCTGGGGAGGCTGAGAGGTTAAAGGGGCAGCTGGAGGAGGCGAAGAGGAGGGTAGGGGAGGAGCAGGGGGAGAAGGTGAAGTGGAGGGAGATGTACGAGAAGGGGATGGGGGAGGGGAAGAGGGAGGTGGAGAAGGTGGTTGGGGAGAGGGAGGGGTTGAGGGCGGAGGTGGAGAGGGAGAGGCAGAGGAGGGAGGCGGAGGTGGCTGCGATTCAGAAGGACAAGGTGTGGTGCTGGGATGGAGCAATTGAGTGAAGGGGGGGATTGGGTGGTGGAGAATGCGTCGCATAAGGGGGGAAACGATTCCCAATTCTTGGAGATTGAGGAGGGGGGAAGCGATTGAGTGCTTATGTTGTGGTGGTTGTATGTCTTCATTCGTATCCCCCCTCCTCACCCCCCCTCCCTGGTTCTCACAGCCGCTTCAAGCACGTACTTGTTAGATTTAGTATGCTTGTACATGCTCCTTGCCCTTCTTTCAGTCGTCTAACAACCTGCCTGGTTGTGCCCCGCAATGTTTCCTCCCAGAACGCATTGGAGCAGCGGCTGCGAGCAGAGGCGTCAAAAGCAGCGGACGAGGCTACTGAGCTGAAGATTCAGCTGGAGGTTAGTGAGAGTGCTGGATGCCATGGAGTGTAGTGCACACAGGGTGCGTGTGTGAGAGCGGGCGGGGATGTGTGCATAGCATCGCTTCGCATGTTGTGTGTTTTGAGGCCTCCTGGTATGGGGGTCCAATGAAGATGCCGGGCTCCAATGAAGATATGGGGCTCCAATGACGCACGGTTAGCACATGCTCCCGAATGATCTTCATTCTCTCAACCCCTGTCCGGCTAGATCTTCGTCCTCTCTACCTCTGTCTGCGCCCATTTCTCCCCCACGTGTCCACCAGTCCCAGGCAGCGCGCCTGGCAGCAACGGAGAAGGCGCTGGTGGAGGCAAAGGCGAGAGGAAGGGATGTCCCCCCCTGCTTTATCCCCTAGCCCACCCGATTCACCCACTCTCCCCCCTCCCCTCCCCTCTCACCGATGCAGCCCCAGGCAGCACGGCTGGCAGCACGGCTGGCAGCAACGGAGAAGGCGCTCGTGGAGGCAAAGGCGAGGGAGAGGGGGAGAGGCTGGTCCCCCTTTATGCACACGTTTGCCCACCACCCCGACCCTCTCCCTTCTCTTTCTCTGTTTCCCCGTCTTGCAGTCCCAGGCAGCGCGCCTGGCAGCAACGGAGAAGGCGCTGGTGGAGGCGAAGGAGCGGGAGAGTCTGTGCACCCCATGTTCCCTTCCCCTCTCCCCAACCTGATCCCGTCATGTTTCTGCACCCTGCGCTCAACAGGCCCAGGCAGCGGCTGGTAGCAACGGAGAAGGCACTGGTGGAGGCAAAGGCGAGGGAACCAGAGGCCCACCCCACTTACGCCTTTCCCCTCTCTCCCTTTCCCCCGCGTGTTCCGTCTTGTCTTGCAGTCCCAGGCAGCGCGGCTGGCAGCAACGGAGAAGGCACTGGTAGAGGCAAAGGCGAGGGAGAGGGAAGTTGAGGAGAGCATGCGAGAGGCGACCAGGACGGCTGGCAGTGCGAGCAAGAGCGTGCAGGTGAGGCTGGAAGCAAGTTTTGAGGCGCCTCAAAACTAGACTCCTATCACGCAGTTTTTGAGGCGCCTCAAAACTAGACTCCTATCACGCAGTTTTTGAGGCGCCTCAAAACTAGACTCCTATCACGCGGTTTTTGAGGCGCCTCAAAACTAGACTCCTATCACGCGGTTTTTGAGGCGCCTCGAAACTAGACTCCTATCACGCGGTTTTTGAGGCGTCTCAAAACTAGACTCCTATCACGCGGTTTTTGAGGCGCCTCAAAACTAGACTCCTATCACGCGGTTTTTGAGGCGCCTCAAAACTAGAGGCAGTGCGAGCAAGAGCGTGCAGGTAAGGCTGGAAGCAAGGTGAAGTGATCTTTCATGGCTAGTGGAGGCATAGGCGCGGGAGAGGGAGGTGGAAGATAGTATGCAAGAGGCTACTCGGACGGCTGGGAGTGCAAGCAAGAGCATGCAGTTAAGGCTGACGCTCCAGCCCCCCTTATTGCCCCTCCGCCCCCCGCCCTCCTCCTCCCTCACTACGGTTTTGCTCTCTTCTCTCGTGTTATGGCCACGAGGGTGTGGTCTCTCTTGTTCCCGCTCCCATTTCGTCTCTCGCCACGTTTGCTCTCTCCTCTATCTCTCTGCCCTCTCTATTTCGCATCAAATCTTTCCCCCTTACCCTCCCATTTCGTCTCTCGCCACGTCTGCTCTCTCCTCTCTCTGCCGTCTCTATTTCGCGTAAAATCTTTTCCTCTTACCCTCCCTTCTTCACACTGCCCTCTCCCCTCCTCCCACCTTGCCGCTCATGTCTCCAGGCTGCAAGGGAGGCTAAAACAGCTGCAGAAACAGCGAGCTGTATAGGACTAATCCCTATAGCCCTACCCGTTGCGTTCATCCACACTCCTCCCTCTTTCCAACCCTCCTGTTGCAGGCTGCTAGAGAGGCGAAGGCAGCGGCAGAAGCAGCGACAGAGAATATGGAGCACCAGCTACGTCAGGCTGAGTCAGCACGCACCTCCGCTGAGCTGGCAGCTCGGCGCGAGGCTGAGCTGGCCCGCCAGGCTGGCATCCGCGCTGACTCAGCAGCCAAGGATCTCCAGATGGCGGTGGAGCAGGTACAGGCGGCCCAATCAGCAGCAGAGGCGGCAGGAAAGAGGGCGGAAGCTGCGGAGGGGAGAGCGAGGGAGGTCGAGAGGGAGACAGAGCAGTTGAGAATGAGGGTAGTGGAAGGGGAGGAAGAGGGGAAGGGGAGGGCTGATGCGCTTTTGAGAGAGTGTGAAGAGCTGAGAGGGGAGGTGGGGAGGAGGAAGGAGGAGGTAGGGGAGACGATGGCGATGCTGGCAGTGTGTGAGGTGGAGAGGGAGGGGTGGAGGAGGAAGGAGGGGGAGGCGAGGAGTGAGGTGGTTGGGCTGAAGGGGGAGGTTGAGAGGTTAAAGGGGGTGGTTGAGGGGATGGGGGTGGAGTTGGGAGTGGTGAGGAGCGAGAGGGAGGAGATGAGGGGGGGAGTGAGAGTGAGGGAGGAGGAGATTGCACGGTTGAGAGGGATGCTGGAAGTTGCAATGAGGGGGAATCAGGAGAGGGAGAGGGAAAGGGGGAGGGAGAGAGGGGTGGGGAGGGTGGATGGAGCGGTGGGAGAGGGGGAGGGGACTGTGGGGATGGAAGTGGAGGAGGATGAAGAGGCGGGGAGGAAGAGGAAGAGGGCGAGACTGGGGGCGGCTGCTGCTGGTGCAGGTGCTGCTGCTGGTGAGGGCACTTCGGCTGGTGGGGATGGAGGTGCCTCTGATGCAGGTTTTACTGGTGCAGGTGCTACTACTGGGGGTGCTGCAGGGGCGGGAGATAGCGCTGTGACGGGTGATGCTGCAGAGACAACAGCAGGAGAAGGCAGCAAGCGGAGAGGCAGGGGTGCAGGCAAGAAAGCACCTGCTGCTGCTGCTGCTGGGGCATCTGCACCCGCGGTGCCAGCGGTGGGAAGAGGAGGAGGAGCAGCAGCAGCAGCAGCAGCAGCAGCAGCAGCAGGAGCAGCAGTAGCAACAGGAGGAGTTGCGGTGGCGCCCTCGCCTGCAGCATCAGGCAACACGGGATTCGAGTCAGCCCAGGCAACAGGGCAGGGCAGCGAGATGGATATGGATACTGAGGGGGCTTCCTTTGGTGGCGTGTTTGGCACAGGGGGGAAGGGGGGCACCGAGGGGGATGAGGCGGAAAGCAGTAAGGCAGCCAAGGGGAGGACAGCGGGAGGGAGGAGTAGGAGGGGTGGGGCAGCGAGGAGAGGGAGAGGGAGGGCAGCTCCGGGGGTGGGGGCGGTGACAGCTGCTGACGTGGCGGGGGAGTCTGACGTGGCGAAGAGGCGGAGGGAGATAGCGATGAAAATGACCAAGAGCGAGCTGAAAGATGTGTTGACGGACCATGGGAGGGGGCTGGATGTGCTGGAGCTGAGGACGCCCACCAAGGGTCAGCTGGTGGATCTGTATGTGAAGTTCGTCCCTGGAGTTGGTGACAAGAAGTAGGTGGCAATAGTTGCTGGTGTGACTGGGATGGGAGATTGAGGATGAAGAGTGAGCTGAGGGATGTGCTGACGGACCATGGCAGGGGGCTGGATGTGCTGGAGCTGAGGGCGCCCACCAAGGGGCTGCTGGTGGATCTGTATGTGAAGTTTGTGCTGGGAGTTGGTGACAACAAGTAGCTGGTGCGGCTGGGATGGGAGAGGGGATGGTGTGGGTGGGATGGGAGAGGGGGATGGTGGGGCTCGGATGGGAGAGGGAGATGGTGTGGTGTGGCTGGGATGGGAGAGGGGGATGGTGGGGCTCGGATGGGAGAGGGAGATGGTGTGGTGTGGCTGGGATGGGAGAGGGGGATGGTGGGGCTCGGATGGGAGAGGGAGATGGTGTGGTGTGGCTGGGATGGGAGAGTTGGTGATGGCAGAACATGGGATGCCTGATGGCAGAACATGGGATGCCTGATGGCAGAACATGGGATGCCTGATGGCAGAACATGGGATGGGGCTGGATGTGTTTGAGTTGAGGATGCCTGTGAAGGATCAGCTGGTGGATGTGTATGAGATGTTAGCGGCGGAGCGGTTGATGCGAGAGATTTTCGTCGTGATGCGAGAGATTTTCGTCGTGATGCGAGAGCTTTGGAAGTGGAGTCAGATTGTCTAGTTCATTGTCTTCTGTGCTAGTTGGAGTTAGATATCTGTGTGCAGTGCACATGATTGTTTAGCATCGAGTGCAGCGTGGATTTTTCTGATGGGTGGGTCTATCAAAGTTTGGGTTGGAGTGAGAAACGTTGTCTGAGGGAGTACAGTTGACTAAAGATTGTCAACTAATCCTGTAGGAACCGAAAAAATGGCATGCTACGTATGTGTGAACTGTACACAATGGGCCAGCTGCCTTCCCCTTTCAGGCAGTAGTTACGTGGAGGAACGTGGAAGAACAGGAGGAGCAGGGCCATTTAGCCAAACCAACAGTGCTGCTTGTGGCGCTCATCCCCCTCGCGGGGCTCGTGAGCAGCATACCCAGCAGCTCCGGCATTTATGCAGTCCTCTAGCCAAACCAGCCGTGCTTCTTCTGACCTCCCTCTGCCTCCCTCTCCCTCCTCTTGATGTCCTCCTCGTCCTCCTTCCTCTCATGGCGCTCTTGTGCGGCATACGCGGCGGCACCAGCAGCGATCGCCTCACCGATGCGCTCCCCTCGCTTGTGCCCTTCATATTCCTTCTGCATCTTCTGTTGGCGCACACTCCAGCCAGGACGCGGGACAGATTACCAGGGGTCAGAAAGCAGACTTCGGTCAAAATGCAAAAGGCAAAAGAGAAGAAAGAAAGCAGAACTTCCTTGAAATAGTTACCTCTTCCTCGGTCTTGCGCTCTTCCCCATAGCCAATACCACCAGCGCGCTCCCCGTAAGCACGTTCATCAGATCCGCGTTCTCCATGCCGCTCACCAACTTCCCCTTCCCCATACCCTGCTGTCCCCCGTTCGTACTCCGTGCCACGCACCGTTCCGTACCCAGTTGTACCTCCCCCAGTCGTGCCGCCATAGCCAGTCGTTCTGCCGTATCCGGTGGTTTCTTCGTGCTTGCCATGGCGGTGTCCCGTCCGACCTTCGCCACTCCCGAAAGTTCCATAGCCACTTGGGCCGGTTTCACCACCGTAGCCTGTTGTGCCCGTGCCGCCACCATAACCGGTGGAGCCTGTGCCACCATAGCCAGTTGTGCTGGTGCCGCCATAATCCGTGCCTCTCTCGCGCCCAGTCACGCCAGAGTATCCGGAGCGCTCGGTAGAACCGCCGCCATAGCCGGGCGTTTCGCGCTCATACTCTTGGCCGCGGCGCTGCTGCCCCTGGCCAGCGTATTCTGCCTCGCCCACGGCGGTTCCATGATGGCCGTATCCGTACTCGCCCTCGCGAGGCTCATCGCGTTTCTTCTCGCCGCCGAAGATTTCCTTCACCTTCTCCATTCTCGCGTGGTGGAAAGCGAGCAAATGAGGGCGACGCGTGTCACTCGCGGTGATAGAAATTGGGGAGGAAGGGGGAAATGTTAGTGAGAAATCTTGATCGAAATGGACTGGTCCGAGGAGAAAATGTGTCGAGTATTTGTGCGTGTTTTGAATGGGTGCGCTGCAGGTGAAGAGACTTGCACATTCGAGCGACGTGAATGGAGCCGAAGCGCGACATTGAAAATTGGGTTCCTTTTTTCCCTGAGCTGATGAGGGGACGTGAATTGCTGACGCAGGCGAACCCCAGCTACCTCATCTCCGTCGTCCAGGTGGGCCAATTTTGCGGATGACACGTCAGGCGTAACAAACAGCCAGCATGGGAAATTCTGCGTAAAATTCGCCCTTATTCGCGTTATGGCGGCGGTTCAACCACGTCAGTTAGTGATTTTCACCACGTTATAAGGGAGTACTATGTGGTGTTCATGACGAACTGACGTTCTATGTATGCTAACTCCATCAGATGGATGGATTTTGAATATACCGGTTACAACACATTCTTAAGAGTAGGTCTGAACTGGGGGGATATTCAGAGCCTTCGTCCATCGTCATGGTATTGTGCGTCATTGAAAAGAAAACGACTAACAGCCATTTATGTACAATTGCAAAGAAGGAGGAGGGCCTAACATGCTCCACAAGCTGGAAATCTAGGAGAACTCTTATGCACCTTCACAATTTCTGAACAAGGAGACTCCTATGAAAGGTGCTATGGCTGCAGATCAAGACTGCTGGCGTTTCTGGTGCTTCACCTCCTGTCAAGCAACAACAAACCCGCTTGGTCAGCAGCAGCACAAAGAAAACCCAACCAAAACGTCACTGAAAGCTTGCCTTACCTCGTCAGGAATCAAGAATTGTGTGGAGTAGAGGCCCTCCTGTTCTCCCTCTGCTGCACCCTTGCCAGGCGAGCCAGCCTTGGCCATCTTCGCAATATACCCACTCATCTCGCCATACCTAGCAACCTCCTCGTCAGGCTCCAGGTCCGTCTCCCTCACAAGCTCTGCCAGGCTCTTGGCGCCTGGGCTCAAAACGGCTGGCTTCTCGCCTGGAGCCTTAGTGGCGGCAACTGGTGCTGAGGTGGCGCGTGGAAGGGTGCCTGCGGGAGGGGCGGGGGCCTTGCTGCTCCTCAAAGAAGCTTCATCTCGCGGCAGCGTAGACTTATCCTGCAGGTTGGACCCGTGCTCTCGCTCCCCTTCCTCAGCCTGGCCCTGCCCTTGCATGTTGCTGGTAAAGCAAGGCACGGGGAGAAATCAGCTACGCGAGAAGGAAATTAGCAACGCTATTTTCTGTGGGTGGAGCATCAGTGAGCCGAGATTGGAGAAGGGAGACTAGGACTCGAGGTGGATGTGTTTCAGAACTAGGGTCGAAAGAATTCGTTCGATGGTTAGAAAGCATCCCATGAGCGAGCATCTTGGGAGCGACGGAGGAAATCCCAGCTCCAGCCAGCGGCTCAACATTTAGGGCATTCCAGCGCGTTCATTTTGCCCCAACACAGTTTCTGCTGTGTATAATTTGGGCACGACCCCCATTCGGTTCGGAAACGTGCGGCCCACGTCAGTGGGCATGTTTGGAGGGTGTCCGCCAAAACCGTCAAATTCTCGTGCGTGTCCGAATTGACACGAAATTTCGGGTTACCAGATCCGAATTTCGTACCTGATATGCAAAGTGAATAGTATACGAACGCGCTAGCACGCCCTTACCAGACGGCTCCAAGCACATTGCATTGCCATGCAGGGCCTAAGCTCGAGGCTCATTAGATGCTAGCATTAGGTACACTTCATAGTCATACATCCTTACTACTAGATTAGTGCAATTCATACAGCTATAAAATAGGAGACCTGAATAGATTTGCCTAGATAATTAACCTTTTTATTCCACTTGGAAACAGGGTGACTAACTGCGATTCGGGAATCTTTTCTAAACGCGAAGTTCAGAGCACCCTACACCCGTTTCTTTCTGCCCTGCTTGGCATACGAGATGACCCTACGACCGTTGAGTGGCCTGGGCAGACGGTTGTTGGTGCGCTGACCGCTGGACGCGGCGAGCTGGTTCATGTAGCCCTCGATCTGCGGAAAAACGAGACACGTGGGGATCGGATGTTAGTGTAACTGACCGAAAACTCCCATCGATCAAACGCGTGACAGCACTGATGGTATATTAGTGCTCGATGGCTTAGGGTAAATGATGGCGTGACCGCCCGAATTCTGTATCATGTACAGGCCTCTACGGCTCCGTTACTGTAATCAGCGTCACTGTAACGAGTTTTCCGCCCTCTCACCTGTTCGACGGAGGCGTAGAGGCCGCGCTTGAGGATGAACCACTCGATGTTGGGCGCGCAGGGCGGGTACGTGGTGGACCCGCGGTAGTACCAGAAGCCGTACTTCACGTTCAGCGCCTCCTTGAAGTTGGTCGTCGCCGGCACGGACACGGACGTGTTGACGGTCTTAGGGACGTACGGCAGCCATCTGCCGAAGTAGGAGGAGGGGGGGGGGGGGGGGGAAAGAGGCGGAGAAGAGACGGATCACGGGTTAGTTGTTACTACACGGTCAGCGCCTCCTTGAAGTTGATCGTCGCGGGCCCGGCCACACATGTGTTGGCGGCTTTGGGGAGGCTGGGCAGCCATCCGAAGGAGAGATGGAGCACGGTGTAAGTTACTTGGCTGATTTTTCGGGTCGGAACAAGGCCGCCAACACATGTGTGGCCAATAACGGCGCGAGCAACTGGGATAGTGACGAGACGGATGGGCAGGCAGGCTCGGTGCACACAGGAGCGCGTTGCGCTCGAAGGGGTACTCACTTATCGAGCCACGCGTTGCGGACGTTGTTCTTTTGAATGACGATCATGACAGAAATGATGGCGCCCTTGGCGGGGTTCGCGACGTTTTCGTGCACGAAGTGCGCCTCGAGCGGCGCGGGCGCGCCGAGAATGGTGTGCTCCGACGTGGCGTGCAGGAGAATGCCGAGCAGACGGAACTTGCCCGTCGATGTGTACATGAAATTCTCCGTGCCTGCTTGTGGCTGCACGCCTGCGAGTTAGGGAACGAACGAAAGAAATCAAAGGGGAAAGATCAGGGATCAAATTAAATTAGACGCGGATGAGAACGTTGGTGGCGGAAAAAGTAGAGTCAGGGATAAAATTAAATTGGACGATTGCTTTTGCACATCAGCGTTCGCCATGCTAAGAGACGCGAGAGAGCCACGAGATAGTGATGGCAATTACCTCCGGTGAATCCGAAGTTAGAGACGGTGAGCGACTTGCTGAGCGCGTAGCTGATGTTGAGGAAGCGGAGGTCCTTGCCCTTCACCGCCGTCGACGGCTCGATGTTGATGGGCGATTGCGCGCGCGATGTTTGACACGTTCCCTGTAAATAACGAAAAGGAAAAATGGGAAGGCAGTTGAGAAATCGACGGCTCGATTTACATCGCGACTACGCTCTCGAGGAGTGCCAAGCACCCAGGCACCAGCGGGGATGTATGGGCATGACGAATCGCAAGTTTGCAGGACGACCCGTTATAATATGAAGACTAAAAAAGGTACGACGCGGTAGTGCGACGTACCGTCCAGTCTGCCCCGCTCTTGACGTAGTTCCATGCATGTACGCTGGAAGATAATGCTAGCAATAGCACGGCCAAGACTAATCTGCGATCCATCGGATACAACACGAGGAGCTCTGCTTCTAGTCGCTGCACAAGCACGTTTCCAAGCTTCTGCTAGGCGTCCAGTCGAGTCCCGTACAGTGCAAGGGAGGTTTTCTCAGCGAGAGGCGTGAGCGTAATGAAGGCTTCTGAGCGATTTTAATGCCAATGGTACTTTGGAGCTTCTGAGCGCCGACGAGTCGTCGTTAGTTGTCACTCACACCCAGCCCCACTGTAGAAGATGCTGCTGACAATCCCGCCTAAAAAGTAGGAGTCTTTTCGGCACGAGCGGGAGCAAGAAGCGGAGGTGTTAGTAGCGCCAGGGTCTGATGTGTCGCACGGCGACGCCCGCATGGTCATGGCGCACCACGTTTTTCGGCTAGGGGGAAATGCTGTCGCTCAATGTCGCTTGGAAGCACTGAAATGTCGCAGGGTGTGGGGAGGACAGTGCATGCGGTTGACCGAAGGCGGTGCTGAACGGAGGGGCGGTGATGCTTATGTGGGATCGCGACTCGGAACCGAGGCGCAAATTTGCCACGATGCGTGTCGGTGCGCGTTGAGAATCACACGATGAGGGAAGCTCCGAGGTTTGTGATAGGCCAGGTGCTGACTTCGATAAACCCGGATTGTCACGAAAAGGCGAACATGCTTCAAAGGGGAGAGGGTCAAGAGAACTAGTTACATGTGCAGCGATTTTCCTCACCAAGACTTCTTTCGAGATTATTCACAAGAGAGCCCATTTAAGAAAGGAAAAGCATGACCTATACTAAAGGTGCACAAGGAAAGTGTAAGGAAATGGTATTTCCTTATCACGGGATTTATTCAGTGAGGTGTACACTGCCATCACGGGGTTTCCATGCATCTCTGCCACGAAATTCAAATCGCGGTCCCAAATGTGGTCTCCTGACGAGCCGCACGCATTATTGCACGCCTTACTGTTGCATGCCTAGATCTGGGCGCTTCGCGCCAATTTACTATCAAAGTTAATGAATTGAATAGAGCCATGGCATAGAAGGGAATATAACCTAGTGGGTTGTACTCTCTAAGGCACAAACCTGTATAGTCTGTAACAACATACAAGGATATTTTGACACACCCCTAGACTGGATAAGGGCAGTGCCTAGTGAGAAACAAGCAGCTCAGGGTGGCACTACTAGTCCAGCCTCTGAGGCAAGGGTCTAAAGACCAGTCAAACGAGTACAAACAAGATAAGAGCAAGACCAGGGTGGCACTACTAGTTCAGCAATTGGGAAGAGGCCACGAGGCCAATCAGGGTAATGTATATAAAGGTCCTAGAAAATGAGAGGCTCCAGGAACGAGACCTAGTTGTAAACAGTGCCGCTGATGATCTTTAGGCGCAAGCGCCTTCATAAAGATATCGGCTGTATTGACACAGGAGGCCAAGTGTACTACGCGGGCCTGGTGACGTTGCTCTAGCTCACGCAGGAGGAAGTACCGCATCTAGATGTGCTTCGCTCTGCCCTCGAGTCTGGGCTCCTGACACAGGAGGATCATGGCCCTGTTGTCAGCGGACAGGACCGGGGCAGAGCTAGGCTGCTCACCCAAGTCTGTGAGCAAGAAAGTCAGCCAATGAAGCTCCTGTGCCGCCATGGCACCAGCGTAGATCTCAGCCTCACAGCTAGACTGAGCAACAGACGACGAACGGGTGGACCGCCACGAGACTGCACCTGCACCAAGGCAAAAGCAGTAGCCCTGACCGGAGAGTCTCAGCGTCGTCGGCCCACGAAGCGTCTGTGTGTCCGGTAACAACCACTGGTCTGCGTCTTCCTAACACTAACCCCAAGCCCAATGTACTTGCTAGACAACGCAAAACCCTCTTAGCTGCCGACCAGTGCTGAGGTCGGTGTCTGCCGGTGGCCACAAAGCGAGCCAGAATGCCGAGAGAGATCTGGACGAGTGCAAGTCATCAGGTACATGAGGCAACCCACCAGCTCTACGTAGGAGCCACTAGGTTCTACAGCCTCCTCCGAGACTAGAGCAGAGAGTCTGTGGTCTACTGCAGAGGGGTGGGCTGTGCGGAAGAGAACTGAAGGCTGAACCTCTGAAGGACCAGGCGCACCAAGTGTGACTGCATGAGAGTGATGGTGCGCGCTGCTCTGTCCCTGGAGATCTGTAAGCCAAGGTAGCAGCGCAGCTCTCCTAGGTCAGTGCAGGTGTGTCTCCTCAGCAGCTCGGCCTTCACGGAGGCCAACGCGTCTCTGTCTGGAATAGCAAAGACCAGGTCATCTACGTAAACAAGGATGTAGAACGGAGTCTGGCCAGAACGGACGAAGAGCGAGGGGTCTGCAGACGAAGAGAAGAACTGCACGTCAGCAAGTGTAGCACGCAGCGTATCGTGCCACTCACGGGGCGCCTGTCGCAAGCCGTAGACAGGGCCCTGTAGGAGCCACTCGGTACTAGGGGGAAAGGTACCAGAGAAGCCCTGGGGGTGGCGCACGTAGACCTGCTCGTGTAGACTGCCCTGGAGGAAAGCTGTAGAGAAGTCGAAGGAGTGCAGCTCGTAGTCACGCTGTGCTGCTACGTGTAATAGTGCCCGAAGAGTAGTCATCTTTGGGGTCGAGGCGAAGGTCTGAAAGAAGTCCACCCCCTCACGCTGACTGAAGCTTTGAGCAACGTAGTGCGCATTGAAGACAGGCGCCTCTCCAGGAGGGCGCTTCACCTTGAAGAGCCATCGGCCATCGACTACGTTCACCCCAGGTGGGGGAACTACGTCGACGAAGGTACCGGTGGATCTCCAAGATGCCATCTCCTGCTCCATGGCACCTATCCACTGAGAGGACCAAGGTCACGAGGTGGCCTCGGCGTAGGTGCGAGGGGTTGGGATGTCAAGGGCATCTGGGTCACCCTCTGGGACTAGCAGCATGGAACAGAGAAGGGGAGCGGCCTTAGACAGGAAAGTGAGCTCGTACTGCCTGTCCTCTAGGATGTCACTGCCACGGGCAACCACACCCCTGACGGACGGAGGGTAGGCAGGGTGAGAGACCAGAGCAGTGGTGAAGTCAAGGCGGCGGGTAGCGGCGAAGTCAGTAACAGCAGCGACAAGAGCCGACAGACTCGAGACAGGAACGGACGGGTCGGTAACAAGGGAGGCAAGGACTCGAGGAACAAGGGGACACGCAGTACGGAGGAAGTCAGGGAATGGGGGCGGGGCCACAGCAAGCGACGACAAAGGAGGAGACGGGAGGAGCGAAGGAGCACGAGACACGTGGAAGCGAAGCAATATAGGGTGAGACCGTTGAATAGGGGAGGTAGGACGAGCACGAGACGGACGACGAGACCAGACGTGAGACGGAGGAGTCGGGTCAGGAGAGAGGGGAGGAGACGTAGGAGGAGAACGGGGAGGGAAACGAGCCAGAGAGGAGTCCGGGGGAGGAAACACAGGGCCGTAGATCGGCGGAGGAGGAGGCGGCGGTGACGAAGGAGGCACCTGCAGGCGGTCAGGGGAAGGAAGACTGAGGAGGCGAAGAGCGGACACCGGCGACGACTGTTGCGACTGTTGCCCGACTCCAACACCAGAACCTCCAGCGACAGCATGGCTTCCTCTGAGATGCTCCACGCCAGCACCCCCAGAATGGGAACCCGCTCCATTACCCGCTCCAGCAAGCGCCCCAGCACCCCCAGAACGCACGAACCCCAGCGGCGGTGACGACGGCGGCTGCGGCCGCGGCAGCGACGGCAGCGGAGGCGGCTGCGGCGGCGACGGCAGCGGCGGCAACGGGAGCTGCGGAGGCGACTGCGGTTGTGACAGCAACGGCGGCAACAGAGGAGGAGAAATCGGGGTGGGGACAGGCAGGGGAAGGGACTCCGCTGAGCCGCAAGAGTCAGCAAACTCCTCGGCAGGAACAACCGATGGGAGGGGGGTGACGTGAGACACACCAGAGGGGTCAGGGTGGGGAGGGGGAGGAGCAGGGGCAACCGGTGGAGGGGGGGGAACCAGGAACTGGGGGGGAGTGACCAGGGGACCTCGGTGGGGAAAGCGGTGGTAGAAGGAGACGGACTCGTCAAAAGTGACGTTGGAGAGTGAAAGAAACGGTGAGACAGCGGGTGGTAGAAGTGCCAGTCAGACGAGTCGAGGGGGATACCTAAGAAGTCATGGAGGACGGTGCGAGCAGTGAGCTTGTCCATGCCAGAGGCACAAACGTGAGTAAGGCAGCCCCAGACGTGGAACGCAGACCCGTCACCAGGAAACCTGGTCCAGAGGAGGGTTGGCGAAACCTGCGGCCGCTGAGGGTGTGGCCACAGGTTAAGCTGGTGAGCAGCGTAGCGAACGGCGAATGACGACATAAAATGGGGTGCACCGGCATGGATCATGGAGGTACGAGCCACCTCCATGACCAAACCGATGCGTCGCTTAGCGACCCCATTCTGCTGCGGGGAGTCTGGCAGGGTGAATGTCTGGGTGATGCCCTCCGCATGACAGAAGCGACCAAGGCATCCTGAGGCAAACTCGCCACCACGGTCGGAGTGAAGACGCAAATCAGGGAGACCTCGGTGAACACGCGCAGAGACAAGCCACGGGATAAGAACGTCAGGCACGTCGTCCTTCCGCTCCGGGGGAAACACTGTGGTGTAGCGCGTATAGTCGTCGACAAGCACTAGGAAGTAGCGCTCTCGATGCAGCCCATGGACGGGGGCGGGGCCCAAGACGTCCATGTGCAGGTTTTGCAGCGGTGCGACGGTGGGGGGGAATGAGGAGGATTGAGGGGCACGGCGGAGTTGGCCCTCGACGCAGGGCGTGCACGGCGGCGCTGGTGGGTTAGGTAGCACGGGGAACGACTCAGGGAGACCTAAGACAAGGCCGTGCTGAGACATGTGACGAAGACGTGTAAGGGCAGGGTGACCTAGACGGTGGTGCCACAAAAGCGTTGAGTGAGTAAGCGACCAACACGAGCAAGCCGCACCAACCTGAGTAGAGGCAGACACCTTGGGAGACGTCCCAACCAGGAGGAAGCGGTGTTCAACGTGAACAGGCCAGACCTTGGGTCCCGGGGGAATGTGGTGAGGGGAGCACCAGTGGCGGGCCTCGGTACAGACAGCGTACCGCTCGTGACCAGGGAACGTAGTGGTGACGCAAAGGTCCTGAAGGCAGCCGACACCAACTAGGTTCCTCGAGAACGAGGGGATATGAAAGCCTATAAGGGAGCCCAAAGGAACCGCCGGACAGGGAAGGGTGGTGGAGCTACGGGCGACTACAAGACCTGAGG